AAATAATCTCAGTGACATTTTACGCTGAATGTTTGTTCACACACTTTTAAACTTAAATTTCGTGCATAATCAAAGTTGTAGACGAGGTGGATCAGATGAACTATTTTAGACAGTATAACAGGGTATGTATCTGTAATTAATTTTAATAAACATCAAAAGACATCCCACTATTTGTTGGCAATGCATACGTCTATATAATAACTTCATTATTTTGTATTTTCACTATGGTAATAAGTAAAACGATTATGTCAATATCTAAAGTATGCATTTCTTCACTGAATTCTTAATAATAATACCCAGGTACACACGTCTCATATTTTATATCTCGTTAACATACTACATCAAATGAGTTTCATTCTCACCAAACACAAGATTAACTGTTCAACGTGACTGGATAACCGTTCAGTATTGACTTACTTTAAAATCCATTTGTCAATAAAAAATTAGACCACTGATATTTTAACTTTTCTTGAAACTTTACCAATAAATAAAGTTTGGTCATTTAAAAAATTCATTTCTCCAATTGGTTGAACAGACCAAGAATTTTCTTCACAGCTTCAGTGTCAGTCAGTAACAATGTGGAACTTCGTACGTAAGTACATCAGTTCGAGTTGCCATACCACATTAGCACAGAGATTCAGCTATCGATTCAAATCCCGTAGTGGAAGAGGTAGTGATAGGGAACATTAGGGTTTGGTGATGTTATTTAAGGAGTATAGTCCAGTGGAATAGATTTGGAAAGAATATAAAGGACATGAAGAATACAGAAGATTAGAGTTTGAGAGAACACAAAGAGTGGATGCACCTGCGCCATTGCAAACGATTTTGAGCCATGTCATCCAAAGTCTCTAACCATCGGTTGCTATCATCTCGCGGTCCCCAACCAAGTAGTCTACATCTACCAACATGACTCAGTCCACCTGTCAGTGACTTCATGGATTTGTGCCATGCTTTGGTCCGGCCGCCCCTACCTTTCTTCCAACCTACTCCTACACCAGAAAACATAGCACGTCGGGGCAGTCGGTGGTCGGGCATGCGCAACACATGTCCCAGCCATCTCAACTGATTAAGTTTCACTACTTCATCAATTGATTTGCCATCCTTACCTAGTACCCGTTTCATAACAACTGAGTTACTTACTCGGTGGTCCCAGGATATACGAGCAATGTTTCGAAGACACCTATGATCAAATACTAGTAACCTACGAATATCCTCTACTCTTACTGGCCATGTTTTACTGCCATGAAGTAGGACGGAACGAACTGCTGCGCAGTAAACACGTCCTTTGGTTGATAGACGGATAACTCGCCTACGCCACAAATGACGCAAGTTGGCAAAAGCTAGTCGAGCCTTCTGTATCTGTACCGAGATTTCGTGTTCGTGTAGAGAGCCTTTATAAGGTTGATGTACTTCTTTGGTACTCCTTTCAGTGACAAACACTGCCATAGAATCTCACAATCAACAGTGTCGAATGCCGCCTTAAGGTCGAGAAATACTATCATTGTGGGGAGTCTGAATGTGTGTCTATGTTCTAGGATCTGACGTGGTGTGAATATTTGATCTATACAACCACATCCAGGTCGAAAACCAGCCTGGTTTTCGCTAGTCTGCTCTTCACGATCTTTGGTTAGACGTCGAAGTATTATTGAAGCTAATGTTTTAGACACTATATTAGTCAAACTAATTCCTCTGTGATTGTCACAGGAGGACTTTTGTCCTTTCTTATAGACTGGCACAATCAGTGATTGAGACCAGTCAGATGGGATTACGTCGAGTTCCCAGATTCTACCTAAGACCTCTGTCAATCTCGCTGCTAATACTGGACCTCCATCCTTAAAAATCTCAGGGGTAAACCTGTCAGGGCCTGCTGCTCTCCCACGCTTCAGATTTCCTATAGCTTTTTCAACTTCGTAAAGAGTCGGAGGACTTACATTAATTTGCCATTCAGATAGATTGGAGATCGTGAGAAACCGAAGTGTGGCTGAAGGCCAGTTGAACTGATCCCTAAAGTGTTCTGCCCATCGATCCAATCTCCTGGATTGAGAATGAATAATATGTCCATCTTTCTCTGAGATTGTTTCGCTAACAGTTGGGTTCATAATACTGGTTTCCTTAACAAGTCTGAACAGTTGCCTGCTGTTACCTATTGCCGCTGCCTTTTTCATCTCTCTTGCTTTCGCTACCCACCACTGTTCACGATCATTGCGTAAGCTTCTAGTCAGCTTACGCTTAAGCTGACTCCGCTCTTCGTTATGTTCAGAGCCAGATGGAATGAGTTTTCGAGCATCTATCAGTGCGGTAGATGCTGCTAAGATCCAGTGTTTCTCCCTAACCTTATGGTTTACCGTACTTGCAGACATCACTGCTGTTTCTACAGCTTTTCGGATGTCATTCCACGCTGCCTCGGGGTGGGAATTAGTTACATGGCTGCCTAACTGTTTTTTCTAGTTGTTCCTGAAATATACTTTTAGCTTGACTATCATTAAGTAGGACCCTAAGGGGTTTTCTTGCAGCATGTTTCCTACGTCCAGTAAGGCGTAGACAAATACGCGCTCGCACTAGAGCATGATCTGAGTCTAAGCATGTGCACCAGAATGAGCGACAGTCTTCTATCGAGCCCCTCCATCGGTGACTGATAGCGATGTGATCTATTTGGGTCCAGCATTGGGACGAATTAGGGGGTCGCCATGTTAAAAGATGTTTTTCCTTATGCTTAAAGTTAGTGTTTGTAAGAAACAGGCAGTTAGCTGAGCGTAGTTGCAACAGACAGTCGCCGTTATCTGTTCTTTGAACCGCGACACCATAAGATTCACCCAGGTGTCTTTCCTTTTCGCTTAGTTTACCTACTTGAGCATTAAAGTCCCCAGCCACTATTACTACATCTGAACGCCTAGCTTTTCGGAGGTCGGAAAGCTTTCTGTAAAACTCATCTTTTACATCATCTGAGCTGCAGTCAGTTGGAGAGTAGGCAGAGACGACGAACAGGCAACGACGAGTGTCCCTATCTTTCCGAGTCCTTACTGCTCCGTTTAGTCGGACAGCACACAAACGACTGTCTACTGGGATCCAGTCTAAGTGAGCTAGTTTTGCCCTAGAACTCAATGCTATACCTACGCCAGCGAGGTCACGGGAAGCAGCATTAGGGCTTCCAGATACACGAAGCGTAAATTGAGTTGGTTCGTTACTTTGACATGGTGCGGTCAAATGAATGACACTACTAGGATCCTGTGTGCGCGTTTCGGAGACGCAGCACACATCGATGGAGCGAGATTCTAAAGTCTTAGCTAAGGAAGCCTGTTGTCCTAATTGGCACAGTGTTTGGACGTTGAAAGCTACTACGTGTAGTTTAGAGCGTGGTTTCAGGAGACCAGGAATAACGTTCCGCGTACTCGAATCGTTTTGCACTAGCGGTGCGAGGTGATAAAGGGACGTGAGAAGGGTTGGTCGTGGAGATAAGAGAGTTATTAGGTGTAGGAAGGATTTGAATGTGACCAACTTGGTCTCGTGTGCTGTTACGGGTATGAGGGCTGATGTCACTTCCCGGTTGCCCACACCGTGGAAGGGTATTTCTTGAGGAACCTGAAAAGGAAATCGGATTATTGTTGGTCTTTGCGACCTGGGTGCGTGACCGCAGAGCCCAAGGAACAACTGCTTGAGGTCGGTCGAGCACGGTATTTTTGCGGGAGGTTTTTAATTTGTTAGCTCCGTTCTTCAAACGGCCTTACCGCCGGAGACGGAAATCCGTGGGGTAAGGTGAGGTGTGACATTTTTAGGGTCGACCTTTTATAACCCCTTCCTTCCTTATGAGAAGGCAGCATCGCTGCAGATGCTGGTTGTCCGAGGGAAACACCTTACTGCTGTCACACCTCTGTACAGTCAGCAGTACGACTTCGCCCTCAGACCTTGAGTTGCTGCTTTTAGTCTTCCTGTTCCCCAATCGACCTGCCTGGCATGGTAGAACCTGCAGGAACATGTGTTCCAGCTAATATAGCTCGGTTGGGTCATCACGATAGGCAAGCCCGACCACCACGTCAAGGTAGCAGCTACGGTCGGTGAGTCAGTGAGAACCATCCAATGAAAATTATCCATTCTCCATGGGACCTGATTAATCATACTACAATAAAAAGGCTGGGCATAGACTAGGCAGTGGCTATATAATTGAGCTAAATCACATAGTTGAAATCATGAGTCAATTGAAGCTTATCATGATTTCAACTATTGAAATTGCTGAAATCTCCACAAAACCCCTTCTGATAATAATCATCTCACTAGTGACTGGCATTAAGAGGCATTTCCTGGAGTTCTAGTTAGAAGCCGTTACTAGTGGAGTTCAACCAGGTCTGTTGTGAGATATCAGCTCACTGATGACAATGGTGTGTGGTGGCGCGATTTCATGGATTGGTTGACGTTAGACATTAACACCGTTGGATGCACTCAGGCTCAGTGGTCTAGTTGGTTAAGCGCCTGTCGCGAGACTGATATGTCCTGGGTTCGAATCTCGAGAGGGGCGGGATCATGGATGCACACTGCCGAGGAATCCCATCGTAGGACGAGACGGCCGTCCAGTGCTTCCAGGTTTTCCATGGTGGTCTAGCTTCAATGGACTCATGATTTCAACTATTGAAATTGCCATAATCTCCACAAAACCCCTTCCGATGAAATCACATAATCAGAAATTGAACTAAGCCAATCATGTAAGTGCTTTTTTTTAAGAAAATCATAAGAGCAGAAATTTACAAATTTTATTCTCCACCACTCCACCCAGTAGGAAAGATGTCAACCTCGTTGGCAATGAAAATCATAAGTACAGCAAACCAAAACTAATTTCCTTAAGTATTTCAAATTGCTTTATTTTTGTTCAGAAAACAACTGAAAATACGCAAAACAGCTGCTCAATATTAATAATACTTGTTTCGGCATGTTTCTTTAGTTTATTGGCTTCATTTGACATAACGTTCATTTAGTCCAGTAGTTTATCTTCAGGCATCAAAATCTGATGTTTACCCATAAGTTATATTTGCATTAAGAATTTTGAGAATAATGTTAATATGTCTTATATCGCTAAGAATACGAACGTGCTCAGCTCCAGGTAATATGTAATATTTAATTCCAGGCCAATTTTTGCAGTATTCTAAACTTCGTATGCCGACTGTTCCATCTCCGTCACCAGGAATTAATAAAGGTACTTGATCTGGGAAACCATTATAAAAATAACTGGGTGCGGAATAGGAAATTTTTTCGGTAGTGGATAAACGTGAACCATGAATACAATGAATATCATCAATACCAGTAGGCATTTCCAATCCATCAACAAGGAAGTGAGTATCTTTCCACATTTGGTAGCCTAGAAGCTCATTATGAACGAATAGGATATAAACCAAAATACAGAAATAGAAAAATAAATGTTAGAGATGACGTAGTGTGAATTTTTTAAAAGCATAAACATTTTCTTAATTATCCACTTTTAAAAGAGACCTTTTAATACTTCAAAATAAGTTTGTTAGAACTATTTAAGACTATTCATAAATATTCTGAAAACGGAAGCAACAAAGTCTGAGTTCGAAGTAATTTCTATCCATGAACATAACAACATGAAGTTGACTGGGAAACTCTTTTCGTGATTATGGATAAACTGTGGATTCATATTGGTTTTGCTTTCAGTTTTCACGTGATCTGTAAGTTATGGTTTGTAGATATAGTAGCCAGTGTTGTTTTGATAAAATATGAGTAACACAAACAACTACTAAATTAAGGTAGTAACAAATGAAGAGAGAAAAGATAGTCACATACCAATAGTGTAATTTATATCTCTGAAGAAACGCTCGTAATCAGATGAGCTATAGTTTGTTGTAGGTGTGATAATAAGTGGCTCCGATGATGGCCATAAACGAGAATCAGGAAATAAGAAAGGAAGAGATGGCATAGAACGTTGAATGTGTCGAAAACTTAATGGACTACGTAGAAATACCCCAAAGTTATCACCTGGATTAATAGAGAGAACAAAAGAATTTGAGCATAACCTATAAAGCAATGCAAGATTAATGGTTCAATCAAAAAGGCAACTAGAGAATAACGCGAAAATTGCAAAACATTGTCTGTCCATCTTTATAAATCATCTCTCTAGCAGTATTATTACCGCAGTTGAATAATACCCTCTTATAAAATATTAAGATGTTTACATGGTGAATGTTATGTAATTTGAATATTATACAAAAATTTGAAGTGACATGATAATCACAACAACGAATTGTTTCACCATTTATTTCTCACACTCCATTACCATCTCTGCTTTTTTGTTGACTCGGAGTTAATCTCCAGTTTTTTTAATTGAAGTGTAATTGATATTTGATGTTTATAGTTTTTCATCGTAAACTTATTACCTTATTAGAGATAATGCTGTATTTTATACTATAATATCTCAGATTATCGTTAAAATGTGCTTTTCGATCAAGTAATTCACAGGTAATCAGCCTAAAAAATAACCATATCATACTTACAAAACGTTTGCCGATAAACTTCCGACGAACATGAAATATTGGGTTTGATAGTTTAATAGATATATGACAGTAATATGAAGACATTTGTATTTACTTAAATGCTACTAAATATAATGAAAGGTAAGAAACTCAGTGAATATTGTTATTTCATGTCTTTTACTTTAAAATGTCGAGACCTTCTGTGAAGACTTTACAATCTTGATTAATGAAAAACATGAAAGCACTTAATATCATGGTTATTCAAACAATCTTTGGGATTAAAATGGTTTTCAGCCTTATCACATACACATATTCACTAAACCTGATATCTATTTATTCAATCGAGATTCAAAATTAAAATACAGCTAAATTATTACATTTATTTTGTTATTAGAGGATTTGTAGTTGCACATAACTGGGTCAATTATACTTTGCTCTTGAGTAAACGATATCGTAAAGAATACTGGTAGTAAAACGAACTCAAATCCACTAGCTATTTGCGATTTTTGTCAACATTATCAAAGTTTACGCTAACTATAAATGAATAATCATGCATATTTTCGTTTATTACAAATAGAAACAATTTCTGGAAGTCATTGTAAAAATGAAAGACACAGGGAAAGGAGTCTCAAATCAAATAACCTAGTGATATAAACTCATTGGGTGAAGGGTATTTAAGTCGTATTGAGGATTTTAATTTTCTCAAGATTTTAGACATATCTAACAGCTGATTCAATAAAATATAGATTTAGGGCTTAATGATCTACATGTCAGATTTAATTATTTTTAAATGATTAATAAACAACTAGGTGTTCAGTTTGTGTGTGAGTGTAGTTTTACAATCCATTAATTTAATATATTTAACTTCTTAATAAAATCTATTCAGTGGTCTGACTAAAAAAATGACCGAAAAATCGTTTTTTTTTCTAGTTATGGTAAAGCATTATTTCATAGTTTTCACGTTCATGTACATTTTAGGTTACAAATTTTAATATTTTTGAATAATGATATAATAGAAAAGCAAGTTATACTCATGTGACTTTTTCATATATAACTTATCCATGAGTGTACGATGGAAGATTTTTGGGAAAAGCATTATTAACCCAGGATATATATACTTTTTAATTATTCACTTTCCAAGCTTATAATTTAAGTCAATTCTATTTAAAAGTATCATTTCTTAGAAATTAACATTAATGTTTAGAGAAACACGCGTTCCCTTCAGTAGTATTTAAAAATCTTAACTCTACCCTATTTTTACCCATGAAGCTGATATATAACTGAGTTATTATTATTTTATTTTAACACATAGATATTGGTACAAGGAGGCACCAAATATATATGCGCCACACAAAATTTTATTTGTGTGTGGGCTGTGATACTGCCCGGGTGCCCAAACCGAAGCAAGTGGTTTTCTTAGGGGGCCACACCCCGAGCCTTCGACCTGAAGCATCGTAAGGAGATGCAGTCCCACGGAAGCCGGTGACCAACGATTGGTTCATAAGTCATTTGTTCCCTCAGGATCCTGGAGCCCATGTGCATCATTGGTTTGGGATCCGGTTAAAGCGCCGAACATTCGCATTTCGTCCTCTCAATTTCGTGAAAAACACCCCCGTCACGAGAATGCAGTGAGCAGGACTTCCCTGGCAGAGGCTATATACGTGTGGCCATGTGAGAACATTTCGAGAGGGAGAGCGGACTCTCCCTACTCTCGGCCTTACCAGGGCATTTGGGGGCATAGAACTGAGTAGTAGGTCAAACTTAAGTAAATTTAAGGCCTTAACAAGATTTTCAATACTTGTCTAAATAATAATCATTCTTTTTACTAGAACACCAGCATTTTATAATTGATGAATAAAATATGGTTATCATTTATCCAGTGTACTTAACAATGGCTTGATACTCACCAAAAGCTAAACTTCCCAAATTTATTAACTGAACTAAAAATTTCTTTAAATATATATTGTACAATAAATAGTTAGTTGCTTTGTGTTTTATGGATGTTACTCACTTTTGGGACTCTCTGTGTGCATATAAGTGAGTGTAATCTTTCTATTTCGGGAGTAGTTATAAATCTGGTTAAATCCGATTATTTCATAGCCAGACTAATTTCTTAAACACTTCGCTGTCAGCATCAATTTTTAAAACGTACTTACCACTAGCTTCAATCTTCACTGTTTTTACAGAACCCCCAAATGGACAGCTGGAAAACGCCAGAGATTTTATATACTTCTTTTTCCATGGAATATCGCATTTTTTCAGAAACCACTGAGCAAATAAGCATCCCATACTGTGTGGTAGTAGGACAACTGGTCTTTGTTTTGCATTTTCATAAGTTTCCTCGATCAAGGCTTTTAATTTATTGAAAAATTCACCGTTTTCATCTAAAGGGTCAAGTGCGTAAAACTTTTCTACAAAAATATGTCTTACTTGGGGCTTTTCTAAAATCATATGGTGCGCCTCTCATTGTGAAATTGGATACATAAAACGGATCTTTTCTTAGAGCATGGACCAATGAACCAAAATATTCAGAAAACATATTTGGTGTTTCATCTAGATTCTCAATTGACCATGTTTCACCCCATCCTGGAAAAATAATGTCAACACCTTCAGCATCATAACTGTGACCAGTTTTGGGATCATACTGTAATCTAGAATAGTGTTGTTTTATAATTTCCAGATTTTGCATGACACAAAAAATAGACATTAAACTAACTTAAAATACTCAGTAAAATGTTTTATAAATGCAAAAAATTCCAAATTTAACCATACAGGTAGCGCCTTATGATTGGGATCATTCTTCAGCACAGCAAAAGCTTGACAGCCAGCTGTTCCGGGGATCATCACTAATGGATATGGTCCATTGGATGTTGACTCAGAGTTAACTTCCCAGGTGATAAAACTAAAAGTAAAGATTAAAAACTATCATGTTCATTTGTGTACATTGAAACAATTTCATAGAGACCTACTAAATTTAATTGTAAGTTAAGTTTATACATTTGTACGATAATATTTAAATAAGTGGCGGGTATATATATATCACCGTCTCAAATATTTCAATGATAAAGTACATCAGAGCTTAGAAGTAATCGCTTACGTCTAATATATTAGCACCTAGTTATTTAAAAACTTTGATATTTGTCTTTTTAAAACATGATTCCTTTGATACAAAGTGTTCTCTGTTAACAAAATCAAATAACTATTTCACATAGTTTCACCTTAAAATACAATAAAAATCTAGTTGTGATATTTTTTGATTTCAGAGATAAACTTTAGCACTGTTTCGATAACAACAATGATTTTTGATAATGACTTACTTTGCATCAGAATCATGTGGAAAAATTTTGAAAGAGCAGTGTATAGTTCAATTCAAGTGATTAGCAAACAGAATAATAACAGATCAAAGTATATCTTGAAGTTAGCAAGAACTGAATTGTTATTAAACATTCTCACATATATCATTGAATATAAATGTATTTGTTGTCAATAGCCTTTGTGTTGAGTCATTTTCCTTTGACGCAGTTTATCTGAATGATAATTAACTGTATAGATATGACAACTTTGTTCTGGCTAACTTGAAAAAATTGTATCTTTTATGTGCTCATATGAAGGGATTCCAGGAATATGGACAGCTATCCAACTAAAATGTCGTTATTGCGGTGGGAGGGTTATTGTGATTAACCAATTTGGGAGATAGTTTTCATCATAGACTAACTTTATCTAAAAAATCAATTATAAACCATGCAGTATTAGCCAAATTTTTTGTCATAGATAGGAGTCTATAGCATCATCTACTCATCACGTATCACATCTAAAGCCTTCAGATGCCCCATTTAACATGTTATTTATATACGACCAATTTAGTGCCCAACGGTTCACCTTTCCAATCTCAGTTTGAGATATAACACGGTCGTCATTCATTGCCGTCGGTTATGTGTATTCAGAAAATAAAATGAAAATTGTTTACACACATGTAGCTAACTTTTGTTTTGCAAAAGGTAGTTAGTGGATAATAAACTTTTAATTAATGAACTTTGAATGAGTTTAAGTTAAGTCATATCTGATAGGTCATAATTTTGGTCTGATAGGAATAACTGATTATTCACTAGTGCTTCTTCTTATCTTATCCACTGCTTAGAGTTTATTAACGAACAAACAGAAAATGTATTTCATACATTGTTGTCTGCACTTTTTTCTAGAATTTGAGTACATATAGTAGGATAGTTCTGCAACACTTAAAACATAAATATTGTTTAATATTATGTTGTGCTGAACACTATTATATAGAGAAAATTTGACATTAAATATTGCATATTCAATGAAGCAATTTATATTTCAAGAGAGCGTCCGGTATGGTTTCGTAAAATACATCTACAAAATACATGGTAAATTTATGATTAGTCTGTACACTTAACTAGTATTTCTATCTCCAAAAATGTTATGTAAATCACATAATTACGGTTGATTGGTCATTCAGTCATATTTTGATCTAATCTATTAGGGAACATCGAATTCTATTGACCAAGTTGAAATCTGATTAGCAGTCCAAGTGACTTGACATCATTACGTTGTAGTCTTTGATATTTTAGACTGGTAATTTTCTAACCACAAAAGGGTCAAAGAACATCCAACTCACACTTCAGAACATCTCTAGACAATTACACATGCACAAACATCAAACAGAAGGTATTACAAACTTACTTCTATACGGTAAATACAAGTTTTGGGTGCCTAATTAAAATGATATGAATTACATCATAAGACTGCAGTGATAATTTTCTCAGTAAATCTCAATATTGTTGATTATCGTATCTTGATCAAACTAAGAAGAAATTCATTCTCACTAAACTTACTGAGTTCACCGACGTCTCATCGCTAATACAGTTAAACTCGAGTATGAATAATGCAAGCTAGAAAGTTAACTGCCACAATACCAATCGACTTCAGACCAGTCACACAGTAACACCTGATTTCAATGTTCAATTTTGTAAATCTGTTTAAGAAGCAAACGTATAGATCAGCCACTTGAAATTATTACATTCTCGAAGTGTGAGCTAATTTTCTGTACTCTAATCAATAGTTGGGGCATTCTGTTTCCCTCCAGAAAATCTAGTCGGTTCTCTTTGTTTATCTATTTATTTACTGATCTACTTTCATAAATTTGACACATTTTATTGAACTATGCATCCACTGTAACAGATTGCGAAGAGATTGTTGGTGCTAATCAGATTCAGTGAGAGACAAATCGATGTGTAATCACCAAAATGTGATTATGCTTGTCATAGACATGGAAATAACTCGGAGAAATAAATGATGGAGGGAGAGAGAGATAAGAAATGCTAAGCCACATGTTTACGGATAGTTTGCTTTATGTACAAAGTGTTATCTGTTTAATACAAGCAGTAGACTACATGAAATTCCAATTCAAGTTATGTAATTGTTGATTTCTAATGAGTTTTCTATCGGTTTCTTCCCAATTGGAAATCGACTTTCATTGAAGCAACAGTGAAAGCATAGGAACTGAAAGTATGTCAACATAGTGAGTTGTGGAATCTGTCGAATTATTAGCCTCAAAAAATGGACTGGTTTTGGTTAAACAATCATTCAATACCTGAGAGCCTTGAAATGTTGTTTCGTCATGGTATGGGATAAGAAATATCGTGCTGTTACAATCGATCGATTGAAGTAACATGAAGTGACTAAGTGACCACAGCTCGCGAAAATCTAGATGGTGGTGTAAGCTCCTCTCCCAAATTAACTAGAAACAAAACAATACAGTTGGTTGACGAAATAGTGTGCTTTTGCTTGATACAATAACCTGGATGTAAGTAGAATATACGAAGAAATAGAGACGATTGGAACTGACAGATCCTTTGACTAATTGGGATGCAATGGTGTTTGGAGCTCTTTGGACATCCAATAAATATATCTCTCCGAGTTCTAGATGATTCGCTATCTCTCTTAACACTCCATCAAAGTTGTGAATTGTCTGTTTATAATATATTTAAAAATAAATACAGCAAAACACTCAAAGCTTTTGATGATCGCGGTATCATTTTCTTACAATGATTGTCATTCTAACTATTGGAAAGATTATCCTTAGTAAACTAAAAACTAGTCAAACAATAATTGCATAGTGGTTTCAAGCATCCTTTGTGTGTTTTAACTTACACATATACTGTTACTTTGTACTCAAATTCAGTCTTTACACTTGGTTATTTTACGGCACCCGCACTAATGTAACAGTATGTTTATGGAGAGAGTCAAGTAGTAAATGGTTGTCAACTAAAATGGACACATTATTCTATTAGTTAACTGTTGACTAGTCACATCATGGCGCACTATAGAGTTTTGTTTATCCAGAGATTAAATATGATTATTCTGACATGTAACACTTATCTATTGAAGATTACGCATTAGAAAGGTTAATTAAGAAGTAAGAGTAGTAGTAGAAAGCTTATGCCTTAGTTGAAGTATATGATGGAACTGATTAGAGCAAGCTCAAATGTTTGGACCACTAGAATCAGATGTAATAAGTTAAAGGTAATTTTAACGTACGGAAGTTTATTTAACCTTCCGTAAGATTGAGATCGTTACTTCTGTTTGACCCCCTGAGAATGGCTGACTAAACTGGTGGGAAAAAGAAGTAAAACAACATTATTTGATTATTTCACGTCGCGACTTCAAGTTACTACTAGATGCGAAATAGAGGGAAGACTGTCTATTGCTTTGTGAACTAACCATTCATCTTGGATGTTTATGAGATTTGCCATAGCACATCGTTTTTACAAGCGAAAACCTTAAATGCCTAATTAGTATACTATAAATGGTTTATCTAATACAAAGAACATATTAGTAAGCAACGACAAAAATATATCACTCGATAGTTTATTGATCTTCAAAAATAAGATCTAAGCGAAGATAAAGAGTGAATGCATCTGCTCCAGTATTTCTAAACTCAAAGCATTATCTGAAAAATGGAAATCTATTTTCAAAAAAACCATTTGTTTAATAATTAAGCGTAACAATAAAAAATGACGGGTCAATAATGGTAATTTCTAAAACCGTATGTTTATTCGTGGATGGAATTATTTCAAATTAGGATAGAAACTACAAAATGAGAAATGTTTTCAGGGTATAAAATCTATAAGACAAGTAGTTGTTAAGCATAAAATAGGTCATGAAAAAGTAAACAACAATAGTAACTGTTATTCTTAGGAATAGAACGGAAAACTTTCCAAATAATGGGAATTATAGTCTACGTTTAGAAAAACCAGAGATCGCAATAAAATCCACAGCCATGAATTAGTTATGTTTACGCAATTCAGCTTACGTATAAAATGACAAATTATCATTTAAGATTTGATGAACAGATTCAGATAATTGAATATTTATTGTTTGTTTTACTGCATCATTTTCAAGAAATAATAAATGATCAAGTAGAAACCCGGTAGTCACGTCGGAACAATAAGATTTTAAGCCATTTAGTATTGTTAGTTCACCAGATTGATTTTTTTCCAAAATACGTTTTTGATAAAGATAGTGATATGCATTGTGAAATTCTTTTTCGCCAAGTTTGTCGATGCAGTATCTGAAATAAAAAGGATATGTATTTAATATAGATATGACTGAATAATTTTTGATTATTTGTTAGTGTAGTATGACCAAATGATTTGAACCTAACCTTCGTCATCACTAGGATGATGATCTTGAAGTCATTTCTCATCACGGATAAACCGAATTTCATCCCATGTGGGGTCCCTGGGGTGCAATTATGGGAAGCACCAAAGTAAGATGAAACAGCTCTCCAGTGCTCCTCAGTTTCAGTGGTTTTCTGGATGGTGTTATTAAGCCACTCACAATAAATATAGCACCTGACTTGATAAAAATAACAAGTTAAATAACTAAGGACTTAAAACATTAATAGTATTATTACTGTTGAAACTAGGCATAGGGAGATGGTTCGAAAAGGGGGACAAACCTAGCAGAGTAAAAAGTATGAAGTAGTATAGGAACTCAGGATCGGTTTGATGATCAATAGTCAGTGATCTCGTGGACTGATGCTGTATCTTACTCTGATTAGTTCAGGTTTTATTTCAAGCAACTTATATCCTAAACAGCATTGTGCATCAAAATATATGATAGCCGATCAAACGTAGCACATGCTGCAGCCACCTGAATTGATGGATATAAATTCCTATTGTTGACCATTACCCTACAGTTAACTCCATTATTACTTATTCATTCGGTATTCAATGATGAAATCTAACTTCAAAAATAGTCTTCTTCATTATTATGATAATCATAAATGACCGTATCGAATTCTGATATCCAACCATTATGTAAAATGTACGATACATTTTATTGCAAGCTAAATATGTATGGAAAGATCATAATATGAAACGTTAGAAAAATGTGCCACGTATCGGTTCAAGAAATTGCTAACACAGCCATTGTTCGGTGAACTACAAGCTTGAAAAATATCAACAATTTGAATTTATTTTCTAATTTGATTTTATCTGCTGATACGAACCATTTATGCTTAAAAAAGAAATGGTTTCGAAGATGGGTAAGTAAATATTTACAAAATCAGAGTTGAATGGACTCGATTCTCCTACATGAATTCGCCAATATCTGTAACTGTGGATGGTTCTAATGATCAAGGTTTTGTAGGAAAATCGTTTCGTGACATTTATATGATTGATATACAAGTTTAGAAAACTTGGAACTATGAACAGGTAATTCTCTTTAGATAAATCAAACTAACAATTAACGGCATCATTGATTGCTTGAAATTAAAAAAGACTAAAATGAATTTGTGTTATTATTTGTTAAAGATAAAGAACGTTTGGCATTGTTTCAAAATTATTAAAGTTTATACAGTTTTAAAAGTTTTATTTTAAATTTAAAATAGTAATTTTCCAAATATTAGTTGTCTTAGTTTTCTAAAGTTTATTTATTACTTTGAATTGATTTATGTTATAACTGAAAATTGTGTTATTGTAATTATCTATTTTAAACTGGATTGTGTTTATCAGTTTTCCTGCGTTTTTTCCATACCGATTATGTTTAACAGCTTTAACCGATGAACATTTTATACAACATTTTAGAATACTAAATTTATCTCTTCTTATGATTACAGACATGGTCACATACAGCCACTTTGTGGACTAAAGAAATATTTTGTAATAATATTTCAAAAACTGATAAGACACGTCAGTTTTATGTAAATCTTGCTGCTAGCTATACAAAACACAAATTATTAAAATCAATAATAATGCTCACTTTGTCCTACAGCCAGTCAGTCATGATCAAATTAGAAGCTGGTACGCATGTCCGTTCGCTTAACATATAAACATGACGAGAGAAATTTAAAAAGATGAATAGCAAAACAATCGAAATTATACAGTATCAATGATGACGGAAAAAATCGGACACTGAGAATATAATTTCAAAAGACAGAGTGGGAATGTATTTATTACAGAATAGTAGAGTTCGAAATATAGATAAACATAATGAGTGAATGCATCTGCTCCACTTCGATCGCTTCTAAGTCATATCATCCGAGGTCTTCGACTACTAATGACAGCTATCGTGAGGACTCTAGTATCTACCCATGTGACTCAGATTAATAGATAATAATTTTCAGAAACTGATACCACGTTTAAGTTTGGGCGCTTATAGATTTTTTCTGATTCACTCTTATACTGACCAACATCATGCGTCAAGGTAGCAGTTGGTTGAGTTCCGGAGTAACTAAATTCAAGATTGATCGTAAACATTTTATGAAAGCGAGTACACGCAGCAACCAGCCTTGATAAATTCATTTAAACGAATGCAAAATATGAAAATTTATGGAAACAAATTTACGTTTGGAAATTGGTAACCCAGAAGTTTGAGCATGGCACCGCTTCATTAGTATGTAAACCATTGAAGTGTTAAACTGCACATATTAATTCACAGTTAATCAAAATAACTAATAAGCAACATAGTTTTTAAAAAATATGAAAAATTGTTTGATAAAATGAATTATAGTGCTTACTTTTTTAAAGCATCAATTCTTTTAGCTTTAGCCTCTGGACTAAATATGGTCTTAGCTTCATCATCCAAGACTATTGTATTACTGTCTAAAAGTTTAATATAATGTTGTATATTTATATTTAAGAATAAAACTGTCATCATAAAAATATATCCGGATCAAATCAACAAAACGAACCCCGAAAGATTTTATTTTTGTTACATGTATGATATATTTTCTAGTTACAAAAAACAATAGTAAAGCTTAGAGCCTACCAGAAACGTTTAACAGGGTCCCCTAATCAATCACTTTCACTAAGGAAAAAGAAAACTCTGACGTTTTACTGACGAAAAGAATTGGAGGGAAGATGAGATAATATATTTATCATAAACCGTCTACATGATATCGATATACACATTTTTCAGCATTGTTCCAATACAATATAAAAGAAACTTAGTCAAGTGCATAGCTCACACAGACAAAATTACTTGTCATGATGAATTCTTCAAGATGAACTAGAATTTATTCATGATTTACTGAGTAAATTCGAATTCCCATAAAATCTTTTAACGAAACATATGTCCGAAACTCAACATGAGGTCAAATCACTGACGGTACCAAAAGAACCTTTATTCTCGAAATTACAGTTGTAGAGTGATATAGCCAAAGAAATGGTCATTCGTCGCAAATGAAATACCGCGGGGCATAAATTCAACGCAGTTATATTATGCCTTTCCTTCTCGAACCGCCCAAGAGTGAGTTAGCGAAATAAGGATGAATTGCCTAGTTCCTGTGTTTCTATAAGTCGTTGCCATTTCAAACGCTCTTGCTCTTGAATGCACAACTAGACAAATACACCATCATGTTTCTAAAGATCACCTCTCATGGCTGACCAAAAAACAAAATAAAACACTATGAAGTTCTACCTGGCCACATTTATTTGATACGTCATCACGTTGATAAAACTCCAGCCTTTAAAGTTGTTTAGAGAGTCTCAAAGAACTTACCCCATAATTCCAGAGTCTGACTCTTGCACACACCAGAGCCTATAGGAATACATGTCGATAAACCTAACCTTTGTAAACAGTGAAAGTTCATACATCCTCTCAATTTCCCCTGTCTTGATACTATGTTTTATTCAAAAACAGTGTCTTTTCTTTAACATCTTAATTTTTAATATTAATCCTACTTAACATTTTTAATAATCTCATTACCCAACTTTCATGCACCCGTCTTATTAACTACTCATTGTTAATCCCAGATAACAGAAAACATCCCCATTTTCACTCTTACATAACAAGTCGTGATAGGTAGCTGATTATGAAACTATATTGTTAATTTGTACCTTTTACTAATTACAGCTGGCTGTCGCTAACTGACAAATTGCTTTTCATAGTTCTAATGTTCTCAACATTATTCAGAATACATTAAATTAAAATATTGGCTGATACCTCATTTTAAAGATTTCAATTAGTTTGTTGTGTCGCATCTATTTCAAACATTACACAACATTTACAGTCATATAACATGAAAGTTATAAGATCATAACATAAATCTAAACAATTCAATGGTCCAACCTTCAGGGTGACACAAAGCTGCTTTCATGCAAACAAGTACATCGTTCAATGTTTCAGTTGAATCTACATTATCTTGATTTTCTATATCTTCCAGATCATTTTGAAGAATATTTTCATTTTCTATTAATTCTTGTAAATTCTTCTTATTGAAATTGTTTGTATAATCTAACAGTTCATTATCATAATTCGTGTAATAAGTTTCCATTAGTTGGGTATCGTCAGTAAAGACTAAAATAAATTTTTTTTCGAAAAATGAAATGAAATTTTTATGAGTACTAAAACAATAATTATCAATAAGATTAGTTGAAATTTTAATTATAAATTTTATTAGAAATGCCAAACATGATTTATATTCATATTCATTTTACCGTCATAAAATTAGGTCGGATTATGAAATCTAGTATAATTATGTACTGATTTGAGGATTTAAGTTGATAACAAACTACATGTGACGTGACAATGTAATGTCTAATATGGAAATATTAAACAGACATATAAGATTGTTCTATTTAAAAAAAAATATTTACTGGACTGACTAAAAATGTATCCACGGCCTTGAAAGATGTTTATCATTAGTAATAAATCTAGCGAAAAGGTTACCTAAATTGCAAGTATCGAGTTTCTATAAACATAGTGTGATCAAGCTTTTGATTGTACTGTTCAATTATTTGAGAACGACTGATATACGTTTGAACTTTCAGAACCTCAGCTCTTGGGTTAGTTATAATAGGTGTGTAGTGAACATGATTAGTCTTCATTTAATAAAGATCAATGTGATATTACTTCAGTGAATATTATCATAAATCCAACTGAAAACATGAACGGTTTAACTCAGACCATGATGGAAGACCTGGAATCACTGAATGACCGTTTCATCCTAGTGTGGGGCTCCACAGCAGTCTGCATCCACTACTCCGCACTAGGGGACCAAACCCAGAACATTCAGTCTCGTATGTGAACGCTTAACCTCTAGACTACTGGACTGATGTCTAACAGTACTTATGTGGATCCGCACTGCTGAAGAGTCCCATACTATAACAAAACGGCCGTCCAGTAATTCAAGGTTTTCAACGGCTAACTTAGATCCGTTCATGGTTTCAATGAAACTCAACAATCTCCATAACATCATACTGAAAATAAACTGTTCATCAATATTCAGATTAAAACGCTGTTAAGCTATTCAGTTATATGAATTTGATACTGAGATTTACAATTCCTATATGCCAGCAAAACCAACTAATTGAGTGAGGAAACCAAAAGCAATAAGAAGCTTTATTGGCCGCTGTTGTCCTGAATCATAGTAAAGTGTTCAGTTTGAAAAAGAGCGAGAAATATGTTCGATGAGCATTTCTGGGCTATACTTCTACCTATAACTGGGCTCCAAGACCATTATTATTGAACAACCATACCACAGTTAATATTAACAGCCAGAGTGCCAACTGACTGTGTTTTTGCTTCTCTGGGAGAGAAAAGTATACTGTACTTGAGGAAAAAAGTTTTAATTCTTTACTAATTCAAGCTGATATACCATAAAAAACTGTTCCTTCCTCTCTTCTTTTCCTATTTTCCCTGAATAATCCGTCATTTTCCAAAAAAGATATTTGTTACATATGTAGATGATCTCACTGTATAAACACAGATTCCTCACTCTTCATATCTCCTTGAAATGAATGAGTTTCATCGCTCATTGAAAGATAATATATTTTTAATAGTCTCATACTTAATTCTTTTGAATTTCAAACTACTAATTTTAGCCTGACTCATGAACAGCATTTAAACACCATGTTGAGATCTCATAAAGTTGATACTATTAGAGATTCTGTGGTAAAAACTGTGTAAAAGATATTTTATCTTAGTGTGAGCTTTTTCGGCAGCCACATTCGATCTAAGGCCTCCTCGTGGCGCCGCCGGGTAGTAGGGAGAACCTTGCTGGCTAGCTTTGGCGATTGGCGGAGATCGAACTAATTCGCCACTCTTCTGTATCTGGATCACTTAGGATCTCAACCTCTAACCCCTCAAATCTCGAGAGCTTCCCGATGTGTACGCTTATGTATATGAGTTTCATGAGCGTCAGCTTATGTATTTGTGTATTTTGACATATGCAAAGGGTACGCACTGGACCAGCAAAAGCGACGAAAGTTGAAATGTCTGCCCTATGTCTAATAAAATCAGCGGCCTAAAACAGGTCGACGACATTACTAAAATAAGAGGTAATAGAGGTTACTATCATCCATCCCTGAGAATGCTTATGCTTATGTGCATTTCATGAAGTGCGTCGACAAAAGTCTATGTCCCTATGATATTCATGTTATGCGTGCGAGACAATCGATTGTGTCAAATACGTTTGAAGGGAGTAGTGATCACCTAACCTCCTAGGTGAGTAATTATACCTATATGTATGCCATTGAATTTATGGGTTGCAACATACACTTATGATTTCGATGTGGAAAAAACTGTGTAGCTTCAATGATTGTTAACTTCTCAGGGTAACAAGATAATTCCATAATTTACATACTTACCACTATTACATTTCAATTTGGAACTATTAATATCACTCAGCTGTCTTGCTGATTGTGTAAAGTTTTGACTTAACATTTCTGAAAACGTAAATTGTCGACGTATAAACAGATTCTCTTGATTATTATTATCCTTTTTATTAATATTAGGGTCATCGTGAATATCAACTTGTTTTTTAAGTTCATCCATTGTGACATAATCGTAAATTGGACTAGTTAATCTAGGTGAAGGATAAAAATATTTTATTTCAGTAAAACTCATATTGTTAGTTAAATCTTCGATTTGTTCATTTCCATGTTTTGTAGAATTTACAAAATAAAATGTTCCAAGACTTTCATCTTCAGCACCTGGACCTTTACCTGGCAATTTTTTACTGTCTAGAAATAAAATAAAAAATGGTAAGTATATTGAATGGAAAATTTGCTTCACAAAATTACTTACCAGGTGATCGTAAAAATACGTACCATTTATAATATTTTTAATTGTGATCAAAATCCCTGAATATACTAAACTAATTAACGACTCTGTATGAAAACCATCTATAAATTCATGCAAGTTACCAATATCTCTCAATGATTTCAATCATTTTGCATACCACATGATAGATAATTTAACACTTTTGACAACGTCTACTGATTTTCACGTGTTTTATTTAGTCTAAGATCTTGACTGTTGAATGTTTAAGTTGTATCAGTAATTTATTTTCAACATGAATACCATAAACAGCAAGATAATGTTACTGAACTGGGTTATAGTACTTCATCATATGGCCAAGTTTTGAATATCTATGGAATGAGATCACTACTTTTTATTGACTAAATCATGTAAGTTTGTAGATGTGAAAATCCTTACACAGTGAATTAGAACAAGTCCTGGTGAAATCAGTAATATAACTGTCTGTTTACTCTTCGTTACTGTTATTTATCAGCTCTTACGTATTCTGTGTTAATAGACAAATGCACTATAATATACACACAGACAGTAAAACAGGTTTAATATTTATTCCCTTCAGTGTAGCACCATATTAATTCACAACTATCATAGTTAACAAATGTTTTCACGATTGTATGTACATCTTCTTAACAAGTGTCAACCACTACTGAGCAGAGAATCACGACTACTTTTCGACTGTTTACAATCAGCTAACATCATTTCATATGCCTTAGAAACTTTAGTCAAAGTATCATTAAACTAAAATTAATTAATTTCACTAGTTGGTCATAAGTCCATTGAAGCTAGACCACCATGGAAAACCTGGAAGCACTGGACGGCCGTTTCGTCCTAGTATGGGACTCCTCGGCAGTGCACATCCACGGTCCCGCCCCTCGCGAGATTCGGACCCAGGGCCGATCAGTCTTGCGCGCGAGCGCTTAAACACTAAACCACTGAGCCGGCCAGCATCCAATGGTTTTAATGTCCAACTCCATCCACAAAATTGAGCGACACGTCCACCATTATCTTCACTGAGTTACTATTTCACAAGGGATTTGGATGAACTCCACTGGTCGATGCCTTTCACTGGAACTTCAAGAAATACCTCTTGAAGCCATTCACTTGTGAACAATTTCGTGGATTGGTTTAAGTTAGATATTAACACCGTTGGATGCACGCAGGCTCAGTGGTTTAGTGTTTAAGCGCTCGCGCGCAAGACTGATCGGCCCTGGGTCCGGATCTCGCGAGGGGCGGGACCGTGGATGTGCACTGCCGAGGAGTCCCATACTAGGACGAAACGGCCGTCCAGTGCTTCCAGGTTTTCCATGGTGGTCTAGCTTCGATTGACTCATGATTTCGACTAGTGAAATTTCCAAAAATCTCCACAAAACCCCTTCTGATAATTAATTAATTAACAACTTATGGAGCTGAGTAGAAGAAGCCGAATTATAGGTGATCTATTAGGCGGTTAGAGACTATTGGTAGAAAACTCTAGACGTGTCCTGTTGATACTAATCAGTGAGGTGCACTTGATATTTTGAAAGAATTCATTTTTTGTGGAATTTCAAGAGATATCACTTAATATCACAGTTAAATGCATTATCATTGATTATTGGAGACATTATTGACATTCCGAAGGGCTGAGATATTTACGCAAATTGATCATTAAGTAGCAATCAATTTCATTATGTTTATCTATGAATGACCAGTTAATTTATTTGTAAATAGGTGGTAAATAAAATCATGAGTAAACGTTAGATGTTCTTGCTTGTATATCTTAGTAACATGTTAATGGCTCAACAGAAGACTACACGAGTCTAATAACATCTAGATTTTTGTCTCAAATTGAGTTATTTTTTTTGTATAAATCAGAAAAGTTTGTAGAAAAATCATGTTACGAACTTATCTTAGTTAGACAATCATTGGAAACTAGGAGCACCGGACAGGTGTTTTCTCCTGATATAGGAATCTTCGTTAGTACACAAGCACTACTCGAACTGAGATTGAATCAAAGACCTTTAGTTTTGCCATCTAGTGTTTCTTGATTTTCACTGGTTGTTTAACTAAGATCAGTCCGTGACGTAAAAGGTGGAATTTTCGCAAACCCTCGGTATCAATAATAATCATGTGCTCACCTAAAGACCAGCATCAGGTTGCAACTCTTGGAGTTTTAATGAGATTATGAGATCACTGAAGTTCAACCATATTGAGCATGAGATTTTATCCACCAGAAGCAATGGAAAGTGGTTGCTTATTTCGGCGACTTGATTGAAGTTAGACATGTACACAATTGGATTTCAGCTCAGTGGTCTGAAGGTTAAGCACTCACCGCTAGACCTTAAGGGTTCTTGGTTTGACCTCAGGTACGGTCGTGAGTGTATACTGCTAAAGAGTCCGACACTTGGATCAGACAGCTGTTGAGCATCTCATGGTTTCCAACGGTTTTCTAGATAAGATCAGTCGGAGATGTAAACTATGAAAAATTATTTTAATAAGTGTTGTCTAGATTAAAATATGAATTAGAAATTATTCACCGTTTAAATCTGGTTTCTTTGACCAAAATAAATCACCTCCATTTTCCAAATCATCATCTAGTTCATCCTTCACGCTTGTTTCATCGTTTATTTTCTCTAAATAAAGGTTTTTTAATTCATTTAGCAGTTTCTCTGTAGGCATTCGAATTGTAGGCCATATATGATTCAATGATGGATATCCTTTCTAAATTGTAAGAAAAACGAATTAATTAAAATCCAATCTAGGATAAACTGTAAGTTTATTAGCTGAAAATTCAGAAATTTACACTGTGGATAAATTAATCTGGAAACATAATTCACAAAAACTTTGACTTGAAGCTAATCGTAATATTTTTTTATTCATGCCGTTTGTATTTAAATTGTATTTGAGATTTGCATAAATCCCTTATACTAATGATTTATATATAGCAATAAATATATCTTTAGTATAATAAACAATGTGTTCTTAAAAGAATTCTACATTGAAGACAGCAATTTGTCGCTCCCTAACTAGAAAGATTAGTCCTAATTACTTTTGTTCAAAAGCTGCATTATCATGTTTTATATAAACACTGTAATATGCAACTCGCTCAAATTCTAGAATCGCCGTTATAGCAAATCCCCTAATGAGATGATGATAAATTTGGCATTGAACAAGCGTTCTACTGACTGCAATCAGTCAAATATATATTTATCCAACCAATCAACTAATCAATAATTCTTAAACCAAAGGTTGTTTCTATCTTACTGTTACAAATGTTATAACGGTTAACCGTAAGTACATTTCTTCCAAAGAAATCAGTCAGATACAAAATATTCCTTATCAGTCCACTTCGCAAACCTGAGGGTAGTAAGCCTGAATAAACTATTTCTTTGAAAGTTTTAATAATATTTCGTATTGGTTTATATAATGGGTTACTTGGGTATTTTAGGAAGAATAGTGTATTTTGAAGAAAGATTGTCCAGAAGATATCATGCTCGTTGTAACTCCAGAAAGCCCTGAATTTCATTTCATGTAAGATCTTTAGTGTACGCCGTTGGGGAAAAGTGAGTATTTTTTCATTTTATAGGGTAAACGCATGTCATAATGAGAGTATATAAACTAGAAATGTCTTAAACTTTCATATTACTACACAGCCTAATGTGTTAGACGTTTGTTACATTTAGGTTAACAATAAAAAACTGATTCATGATCTCAATCAAAAACTCAACAATTTCCGCAACCCCATACTTAAAAGCAAATTGATTGGACTATTAAATAGTGATAGATTGGAATAAAAATGAGTTTTGCAAAATCACTATGTAAGTATTCAATATCTCATTGGTAGCAATCACTCAGCATTTATCAAATCCAAAACTTATGTTCACAGATTAACTTTACCGTGGATTTAATAATCGTGGGAAAAAATAGTTTTATACTTTCAACATTCAAAACCACTATTCTTACACATAAGTAGTACAGAACATAGTTGTTTTAATATCTTCTTGTAGCTGTACATTTAAACAACATTAACGTCATCATCCCACAGTAAAACTATACAATAAAAGATTAACAGTACTTGTCTTCTTATTGAATGATTATTTTTAATTTAACTAAAATTAATTTCATGTACATTTAAGAACATATTTCATGCATGAGACCTTAAAAAGAAGTGTAAAAAAAAATATGGAACTTTGGTAGCAATTCCTTAGCGAATTAGTTAGTATATTTTTAATAATACAAAGCTGATAAAAAGCTACCTTTTGACTGATTAATTCTGTCTGTTATCTTTTGTAAATGATAGCCAATTGACTGCTACTCTTCTTTGTATCAAATGTCCTAGTTATGCACTCATTGAGATTTATTTTTAGTGCGTTATGGTATTGCATTTCACTCTTATAATCGTATGAGTCATATATCTAAATGATAAAAGATATCTAAAATCATCCATTTAGCCTTTTGATTTTCTGATCGGAGGATCGGAAACATCGCACTTTATGTCCTTAATCGATCTTCTGACGAGTTAAGCAAAGGAGTTAGTCGATTTATTGTTTCTAGAGTAGACAAAACTACGACACTTAGGATAACCTGTTAACATCCCTGTTATCAAACCTTTTACTAAAGAACTAGTACTATTATTAAAGTACTTTCGATTGAATAAAAAATAATTGATTGATTATAAATTAAGTTTGGAGAACATTCACCAAACCATCATATAGGCTTCAAAAAACAATTTACCTGCCAGGTGAACAGTTGTATTTCCTTTGTAGAATTTAAACTATTCCGAGTATGTGTAAGCTGTTCTGCTAAATCTCTAAATTATAATGCATAGTGAAGAAAAATATTATTCAAGTTTTCTGTTAATGATAAAAAATATTTGGAATTCAGGATAAAAAACTAGGTTTCACTGACTACAAAATAAGTCTTGCATGGATAGTGTATAATTGCACACACCGAACTCAGTATGTTGATCATCAACGGGTGGGATTTTTTGCGATAACTTGTTTCAGCGTTGAAGTGAACACTAATATTCACTATGACTGAAGCATATCTGTCAATCTGTCAATATTTATACAGTACAAAATATGCACTTTGGATTCCACTGATAGCTACTATTGTGCAATATCGAGATGTTCTGCTTAAATGATTAGTCAAGAAATCATTGTTAGAAAAATTGATCTATATTAAGAGATAGTATTAATCATTGTACAAAATTGGGATTAAACTCAACTTGAAAATTTTAAACACAGTTATTACTCAATGCTCGAAAAGTATTGTGCTCTCTGAGGAAGCTAGAGATCGTGTGCTTGATCCCTTATGAAGTCGTACTTGCAAACGGCTAGGGAGTTCTAAGCTACAAATAAACAGTCATTTAGTGCTCCGCTTTTTATTTCTTTCAAAGTAACACCATAGAGTATCTGATAATTAAACTGAGCTCCTTGATTTTAAGAATAAAACTTCTTTTACCAGAACATAGATCAGATGTTGATTATCTTAATGATTCATCATCTACAAATGAGGCTCCCAATAAAACTGATAACAAGATTTCAGAAGATTCAAACTCTGATGACCTCAAATTAAATGGCGTTTATTCTCACTACCTGGTCCATTTTACTGGATTCTCTGCTCAATATGTTTTAAATACAGTCAAGCTAATTGTAATTTGGGTATATGAGGACCCAACACTGTTTCGTGGGGGAGGACGAACTAGGAAAATTTAAATCCGGATATCAACTCCGGATCTTCAAAAAAAGGGGAGGTGATATGATGGGAAGAAAAATCAATATTCGATTGATTTACTAAATCTGAGTTTTATTCATCATTACATCCGTTTCGATTTAATGTAATGATTACTCAAAGTAGTATTTGTTTTCTTTTCTCATATGATATTTTATTCTGTATAATATACAATATTCTTGTATTTCATTGACTATGAACTATACTCAGCATATGATTTGTTATAACTGTATTTTTCATGTATGTGATTTTATTCTAATTAATAATCAAAACGGGTGTATAATCAATATATAAACGAGTATATTTTCTACTAAGCTCTTTCATTTCTCTGGTTGCTGCAGAATACACTTCTCATTCCGAGCTTGGACTTCTCCCTCTAGATAGCGGGGCTGGGGTGCAGCAATAGCTAGCTTACTGCACCTTGATCACCGAATCTCGATCTCGTTCGCAGCCTTTAATGAACTAGTGATAGCTTTTCAAACCATAACAATTTTAAATTTCGTATTTCTGTTCAAGACGTGATTTCAAAAGGTATTAGTTCTTACTTAGTACTAATAGTGATTCGTCATATAATAGACAAACATACTGATAATTTGATAGAAGAATATAATAAATGCTGAAATACCTTAAGACTGCAATAGATCTATCTGATTCAGTTGCTTTATTTAATTTAATTTTTTGACGTGGCGTTAAGTACTGATCTTCTGAATGTTCTACATTCTCTTCAATCTCTTCATTTAATTGTATTGAAAACTTCTCAGCGTTTTCAATTGACTGTTGTTTGTGCAAAATTGAATCAGGTGAACTAATAAATTCTTCAAACGACATAAGTCTAAAATTACAGAAACAGTGACTTAAAGCTATAGAAGGGAAACCAGCTCAGGATGAACGTATAGTAACACAGGCTAATCAACTGAAATCCTGAATACCAACAGTGAGAATTTACAACCCTATACTAGTATTTCCTATTAAAGTGTTAAATTATTTGGTTTTTCACCTTTTGTTAATAAAATGTAGTTTCGACAAATAACTAATTCCTTGATGACTTTATTTCATATTATCACACTGACGTTTTCCATTCATTAATTGCTTACTTTCTCTTTTAACAAGCTATTGGGATATTTGTTTTCATGGTCATTGCTGTTACCATATAAACGTAATTGTTGCATCACATTATTATTTTTTGGGAATATTGGAGCTCTTCTGAAAATCCTTTCTTTTCTATTACCACTTCATTTATTCCCGTATAGCCAACTGTTGTGCAATAGCCGTCTGGCTTGCAAAGATCCAGTTTTGTATTTTAAAAATCTCCCGGTCGTTCATAACTTGAAATAATCAAAGTATTATCAAATCATGGTGTCTTCAAGTCGATTGAACAAATGGATATCTTGACTCATTAACTTAGTAGATAGAATGTTGACATCCAGTGACATTGTGAATACCAACACAAGAATACAAATATGACGACTAGTTTCGAATGGAACGGAACGCTTGAGCTGGATTCTACTGCTAACCACAAATTATATATACCGAAGCTTTGAAATATCAAAACAATTATAATTTCGAATATCAAACAACCTCATAAGTATGCAATTAAATTTTTCAAAAATGGAATAAATGGCTATGTTGGACTGAACACTTGGCAATTGAAAATTCTCTGATGTATTAATACACTTTCTGTTCGAGATATAAACTCTTTAACATTGATTAAACTTATCAAAGGTATCTCAAACAGTTTGATTAATAAAACCAAAAATATTCCTTGTTATCAAATATGTTCAGTTTAGAAATCGTTAGAATTACTATATGTTCAGGATAATGGTACTTCAGGGCTGTAAAAAAGTGATAGTAGCTACAATGAGGTTGGAATCGGTAACACATCTCAAAAAATGAATGATCTAACCGTTCAACTACTTTCTATTACTTGTCACTAATAACGATAATAATTATCCAAATTTAAAAAGAAAAATTCAGCGTCACATGACATAAGTTCAAGCTAGTATGTCTATTAGATGGAAATAATCGTTTATACAATCTCTTAATTTAAGGAATAGAAAACCAAATAAACATATTTTTTGGATTATGCACTTTAGCTTTCTTACAAATTAGATTCGCTCCCATCCTTCCGATTTTCATCAGATAATTCGTTTTGTATGTGAAATATAATTTCATTGTATAAATCCTAAAGATTTAAATTAAAATAAATACCCAGAATTATATATATGTTGTAGACGAATACAGAACATCACAAAGTATGTTGTTTAAGGATTTCTTACGATATATGTATTGGGGAAGCAACTTAAAAACTAATGTATTGATGGTTGAAACTAAGAGTCTGAGATCTAATTCTGAAGGATATGAACAATCTCGTAAGAAATCCCTAAACAACATAGTTCGTGATTTTCTGTAGTCATCTATACAATATCAGATGTTGCTTAAGTTACCCAATAGTTTTATCTAATATCCAGCATAAAATAATTTGAGATGAAAAGAGCATATGACTAAATCGATTTTTGGCTAACCAGTAAATACAACCAGTACGAATGAGATGGACTTACACGTAAGTACGGGTGTACCGCATTTGATTGAAGAAGTTCTGAAGCAGATGGCCGTTCTTGGGGAGTCTTCTTTAACATTCTAGAATATAATTAGGACAGTTATTAAACAGTAATTAATATTTTTAAATAGAATAAATTACTAAATGAATAATTTGATCAGAAAATGTGAGAGATTTAGAAGATTAACAGTATTATGAGTTGATAATTTTTCGAAGGTGTAAAGTTTCTAAATCTCTATGCTAATAGCTTACTATCTCATAAGCAATTCAGTATAAATACACATTTCATGTCAAACTAATATTGTGAAAATGATAGCTCTTATTCTAAGTATCATTTATCTATTCAATAGTCTACCGTCATAAATGTGTTGATGTGATTAGTTTATGAACTAACTGAAGGGTTGTTTTGAATGTAGGTCGCTTTTATCAGTCTGTCAAATGTCAAAAACTATTCATATCTTTTTCAGGAGTATATACTATCATCTTATTTCTACAGATTGTTAACAAAGTGGCACCTTAAATTATGATTATAAGAAATAATACCGCAAATAAATTATATTTTGAAATCCTCCGAAAGAAGCTTGAATGAAATCTTTAGGCCATAGCTGTGAGTAAATCCACTTAGAATATGCTATGATTTTACAAATATAATGCGTACATGCTGATTTTAATTTACTTACAGTCCAATCTTTTCTAAAATAGTCATCAAATCTTTTCAACACTCCTTACAGAATAACGCAATCAAAAGATTATTAGGTATCATTAAAAAGATTTGACTTGATACTTTCAAATGAACTGAGAATGGAGTAGAATGTTAGTAATAAAATAATAGCATCTTTGCAATATCCCAATAAGTAAAAAATTAAATTTCCTGAAATTTCGTTACTCAGTATGAGTCGCCCCTATGGGGTATAAATAATTAAACTCATTGAGACTTTGTGAAAGTATTAATTTTATGGTAAAAAAATGTTTTCTCGCTGTCTTAGACCAGCGACAACCAGCGACAATAACCTTAACTATTTCAGTCATCTGACTTTAAAATTGGCCGAGTACTCACAAGTGAAGTTATTTATTGTCGCGAGTGTTTAACTAAGAGCACTAACTACTAGTCAAAGGAAGTTGAAATTTGTTTAGACGTTTACGAATAAAAATATCATAGCATACACATACTGAAACAGGTATATCAAACAGAGCATTTGATTACGATAAAATTCTCATTCTATTTACGTACAGTTCTAAAACCTCTTGCAATTCTTTTGGATAAATCTCCGGCAGCTGAGGACAAGGGTCATTTATCACCTGCCACATAACACGCATTAAATTAGTTCCAGCGAATGCTCTTCTTTGGGTGCATAGTTCATACAGAATTATTCCGATTGACCTATACAATAGTTAAAACGCTACAGAAACTGCTTAACTAATATTAAAGTATAGCAAAAACCACGTTACAGGAAAGACCAGTGTCAGGAAGGATACGTCAATCAATTAAGTGTGCCTATACCTAAAGAATTTTAAATCAATAATGTATTTCCATCTCCAAAAATGTTATGTAAATCACATAATTACGGTTGATTGGTCATTCAGTCATATTTTGATCTAATCTATTAGGGAACATCGAATTCTATTGACCAAGTTGAAATCTGATTAGCAGTCCAAGTGACTTGACATCATTACGTTGTAGTCTTTGATATTTTAGACTGGTAATTTTCTAACCACAAAAGGGTCAAAGAACATCCAACTCACACTTCAGAACATCTCTAGACAATTACACATGCACAAACATCAAACAGAAGGTATTACAAACTTACTTCTATACGGTAAATACAAGTTTTGGGTGCCTAATTAAAATGATATGAATTACATCATAAGACTGCAGTGATAATTTTCTCAGTAAATCTCAATATTGTTGATTATCGTATCTTGATCAAACTAAGAAGAAATTCATTCTCACTAAACTTACTGAGTTCACCGACGTCTCATCGCTAATACAGTTAAACTCGAGTATGAATAATGCAAGCTAGAAAGTTAACTGCCACAATACCAATCGACTTCAGACCAGTCACACAGTAACACCTGATTTCAATGTTCAATTTTGTAAATCTGTTTAAGAAGCAAACGTATAGATCAGCCACTTGAAATTATTACATTCTCGAAGTGTGAGCTAATTTTCTGTACTCTAATCAATAGTTGGGGCATTCTGTTTCCCTCCAGAAAATCTAGTCGGTTCTCTTTGTTTATCTATTTATTTACTGATCTACTTTCATAAATTTGACACATTTTATTGAACTATGCATCCACTGTAACAGATTGCGAAGAGATTGTTGGTGCTAATCAGATTCAGTGAGAGACAAATCGATGTGTAATCACCAAAATGTGATTATGCTTGTCATAGACATGGAAATAACTCGGAGAAATAAATGATGGAGGGAGAGAGAGATAAGAAATGCTAAGCCACATGTTTACGGATAGTTTGCTTTATGTACAAAGTGTTATCTGTTTAATACAAGCAGTAGACTACATGAAATTCCAATTCAAGTTATGTAATTGTTGATTTCTAATGAGTTTTCTATCGGTTTCTTCCCAATTGGAAATCGACTTTCATTGAAGCAACAGTGAAAGCATAGGAACTGAAAGTATGTCAACATAGTGAGTTGTGGAATCTGTCGAATTATTAGCCTCAAAAAATGGACTGGTTTTGGTTAGACAATCATTCAATACCTGAGAGCCTTGAAATGTTGTTTCGTCATGGTATGGGATAAGAAATATCGTGCTGTTACAATCGATCGATTGAAGTAACATGAAGTGACTAAGTGACCACAGCTCGCGAAAATCTAGATGGTGGTGTAAGCTCCTCTCCCAAATTAACTAGAAACAAAACAATACAGTTGGTTGACGAAATAGTGTGCTTTTGCTTGATACAATAACCTGGATGTAAGTAGAATATACGAAGAAATAGAGACGATTGGAACTGACAGATCCTTTGACTAATTGGGATGCAATGGTGTTTGGAGCTCTTTAGGCATCTAATAAATTTAACTCTTGGAGCATTGTATAAATTTTTGCATGTCACTTTATTACCAATCAACATTTCAACATAGTGCACGCCATGTCAAGTCATTCTGACTTGTGAAAACATTGTAACTCCATCTTTGTGATATGAGCAGCTCTAAATGAACTAGACAAACATGTTATTTGTCACTATTGATCGGTCAGTTATTATTTAATATCACATTTCCATGTGAAGCTAATTACAGCCCCAATAGCTTGGTGGTCACCATCTCGACTTTTGAATGAGGATAACGCTAAATTAGTCCGACTTGGTAGCAGCAGTTCCTTCAAGACTGCAAATACGTTGTAGTGTTGGTCGCTATATTAAACCAACATAACTTATTCTGGCTTCTGGACAGGTAAATTTATTCATTCTTCTTGAGTCATGTTCAGACCTTTTTAATTATTTGCTTATCAACTTTGACTATTTCTATGTAAGCGTATGTGTGTGCATTTCTTATATTACTCATCACATAACTGTTACTTATTTTTGTCTGACTATAAGTATCATTTCACGTTTGGTTAAATCGATTTGGATAATATGCCTTCTCCAATCCGTTTCGCTTCGTTCCCCTTATCGTATGTTCGGATCAACGATTGCATGAAACATACGCATTTAAAATCCATTCTTGTGTTTGACTTATTTAATCCCGTTATTCACTAACGCAACTTAACTCGATAATTGTATACGAGGATTGGAGGCATGTACGTTTCGATAGTAATCATCATAAAGGAGTCAGATAAATGGCCACAAAAACGTTTCCCTGTTAAATTTCGATCAACATGAAACCTAGGTTCAAGATTTTATGCCAGTCATCTCCAGCCACCTAACAAATCATTTGCTATAAGACATTCAACTTACCAAATATCTGATTTATTATTGTATCCTTCGTACTTCAAAACTTCCGGACTCATATAATAAGGAGTCCCAATAAACGTAGTTGCCAGTTCTTCAGTTGTGGCCAGTGAACGCGAAATACCGAAATCACCAACTTTAATATTCCCATTCTTTAAAAATATATTACTAAAACAATTTGAAAACAAGTTTTACCTAAAACGTTTCTGAAAATTCAAATCAATTCTTGAAAGTTCAACTCCTTAACTAATTCAATAAGTGTGATGAATGCTGCAATAAATATTCTACATGGGAAGCATTCCTAATGACAACTTAAATAAGACCTAGCTTTTGATAAATACTTAACGTAAGCTCCATTAATTTTATATGTAGCTGTAGTATTATTGGGATTTTTTGATTTATTTATTTAAATGTAATTATTTATTCACATCTTTCTGAGTTCAAATATTTTAGTAAAGATTCGAAACTGCCTGCAAATGACTAGCTGTTATAAATGAATTGGAAACCTCAGTGATTTATATTTACACTAAAACCTTTTTACTAGTCTTACGTATTTTGTGTACAATTTAGGAGTAAATCATGGGAAACAAAATAAAATATGGCGGTACTGAAAACTATATGCCGGTTGAACACATTTTCTTCGTTAGATCCAGTGTCCTCGGGTTCTCGATGATTCTTTAGCAAACTTCACTTTGTGAAAGCTACTTTTAAGTAATTTTTTGAAAGGGTTTAGCTTATTACGTTGTTGATAATACTAAGTGAATTTCGATCAATTTTAGTTGACATATGTACATCCTAGGTGCATTGCCTTGCTATAATTATTTTTTCCACAAGGTTTTTTAAAAGAGACGGATTTTATATGGCTGTGGAATCCAGAAAAAGCGTTTTGAATCTGGCACCTTCATATCCTATAGCCATCTTGTTATTTTCTGCTCACTAGGTCCAAATCTGTAATATGTGAAATATATTATTTATTAAAATTAGGTATTATCGTCTCTTCTTTCAAGACCATCCTTCTTTAAATCGACCTTCTATATTGGGTTTATCTATCTATTTTTCAATATTTGTTGAGCACGCCGTATCTGGTATTTTAGGCATTTTTCTGTTCATTTAGTGGAAAAATGCTGTATTTAAAGGTTTAATTTTCACTTAGGACTTCACTTGAAGTATCTAAAGTTATCCACATCTGTATGCTACTGTCATTTCAGTGCAGCGTATCCCAACATGTCAAATGAGAGATACCAAATATAATGAAAATTAGGTCATGAAACGATGGTCTCTTATATAAGGCACTCACTCACTAAATGGATAGAAAAATGCCAAACAATGTTCACTATTCCATGCTTATTGAATATTAAGAAACGGACGGATAAAATCACATAATTTTTAAATGTAATTCCCTTCAAAATTTCCATAAAGGACAAAATGACGTTATTAGTTTTTTTGACTTAAATTACAATTTTAAAAAATCCAACTCCCAAATTGTAATTGAAAACCAAATATATTGAAAAAATTCAGAAAACAACCTTGTTTTTAAGTCACGGTGAAGTATTTTATTTTTGTGCATATAAACTGTGGCCAATATAATTTGTACAAGCCATTTTCCAATAATTTTTTCACTGATACGTTCTCCTTTACTCTTCACTTGTTTTAAGTAATTGGTTAGATCACCCCCCTATCATGTTTTACAGTACAATTAAAAATTAAAAATAAAATCTTAGCTTAGATTAATCCATTAAAATTTAGCATACTATGTTTAACTTTTACGGTGAATAAACACTGAATACTATTTTCTTTTGTAACGATTTGACGAAGAAATAAGTTGACGAAATGTGCAGTCATCAGGAAAAATATAGTATATAGGACAATAATATAGCACTAACGGGAACCAGAACTTCGTAAACTAATGTGTTTTTATGGTCTGTACCCACCTCAATAATTACGATCAGATCAGCTTACGAAGACTTTTAACCTCTACTGGACAGAATGTTTAAGAAATATGATAGTGTATCTGGTAACAATCTACCTCTTGATATACAATGTAAGGTAGTGTGAAAGTAGTTAACTACGCTAAATTATTGATGATTTTGGTTCTCTTTGAATTGTTTGCTTACTTTTGTGAAGGACTTTTGTCACTTGACTCCTCGAAATACAAGAATAGAGGCTAAGAAGCATTGAATTTTCTGACTTCGAGAAAATCGCATCAATGAAAATACATTCACACCTTTGTTGACTCTTGATAATAATGCTGTTATCCTACTTCAGTTGATTTCTTATTTGTTTATTATCTGCAAGCTATTAACGTGTTATAGGTTGAACAGTCTTTAAAATTTTTTTAAAATATAAACGTAAGAGGTAGGTAAATCAAGAATGACAAATCGTAGTCTGCATGCTTGATAAAATTGCCTGTTAACTGTCGAATCAAAGAGATGAAATGAAAGTATCATTTGAAACCGAAAGCAAATCAGTTCAGTTTGTCACACTTTTCAATGGCAAATTAGAAAGAAGGATAGATAATCGAAAAACCTTAAAATGAACAGTTCATGACGAAACTAGACACAAAACGTTTCACTTAATTACCAGGCCTACTAATAACGACGTACTAACAAGTAACTGGATTTGGGGTGAATTTATCGAAGTTTCAGTTGGAATTTATGCATTGTGAAGTCGACCATACCTGAAGTGAGACTATAACTCGCCGACCAAATTAAATGTTTGCATCACTACATTAGAAATTAACTTGAGTTGAAGATGCAAATCACTGGACCCCGACTCAGTGACTTAAATCCATTGTGCTTGAAGCAAAACTGAAATTGCACGTAGAAGATTAGGTATTACAGCCCTAATATAAATTACTGAGATATAAAGCAAGACAAAGCATCCATCTAATTTTTCATGGTTTCACATCATCCTATAATTGATGACCCTGATGAAAATAATCATCAAATAATAAAAAACGTTTATAAAACCACTTTAGTTTTAGACAATAATGTACAGACTACCATGTAAAACAAATTTAACAAAGATACTGGATTAATATAATTTGGAAATTTAAAAACTTGTAAAGTTTGAAAAAAAGTCTAAGCTTAGTCAAAGTAATCTAATATTCTAAAACTCATTGACACAACTGTAAAATTGGTTGCTAAGATACAAAAATATTCTATTCTAACTTCGTAACAAGCCACGGTAAACAATGAGACGGTATAAACCGCCATACTAATTAACAGGCACTATTTATTATATTTTTTGCATATGAAGGTAACTATGTAACCTTTAGAAATAAATAGGAATGCATGTCATTTGGAACAAAAATATGAAAAAGGAAGTAATATAGAGCATCATTTGAAGAGGTTGTATAAATTTGAATTGACTTCCTTGATTAAAATAACGTATATAAATTTATTCTAATAGAGGATTCGTTTCATTGGTACCAGTGCATACTAAGAGATGTAAGATCAGCATAAAAATCCAGAGCAGTAAGCACTAGTTGGCCTCATACATTTTTATTAAGCATTACCATTTAATCACACCCATCTCAGACTAGTTCAGTAGTTCTTATTTGCTTATTATATAATGAAAAGATTCACTACAATATAAAATGTGTGGAGAAACCTTTATACACTGACTTATATAATCCGAACACAAAATGAAAACGAAAGAGCAACAAACACCAGTTTTGTTGTGAACATGATTAGTATTGGGCTCTGAATAAAGCACAGGGGCTCTAGTTGTGACCTTTACCAAACAAGAAAACAAGTCGTATGAACAATCGACGATGATATCAAAAGGTATGAAAGTCTCTGATTGTATAACTAACAAAAATATAGGCCGACTTCTTATCTTTTTGTTTATACTAGTTGAGACAAATATTAAACTTGTTTACAAGCTTTTATTATTATCGAAACATACTTCAGTTAAATGATCTTTGGATTTTTGTAGTCCGATAAAGATAATTTTTGCACCTGGGTTATAGCCATTCGCTTTTGAGTAACATACTTAACCAATGTTTAGGAAAACTAATTTAGTTTCGTAAGCTTCACAGTGTTAACATAGTAATCCTTTGAGTATACACGATCATATATGTATTTACCTAGCGACCAAATATAGATAAGACATATTTGAAATTTGACTAACCACTGAAGCTAAATACAAGCTTGTGGTGCTTGTATGAAATGAAAAATACTTTGCACACAATAGTACAACTTATTCGTGATTTAGACAAAATACACTACAGTAGCTCTACAGATTTTTTCCGGTCTTTTCATTCTGATCCACTTGTAGCTATAACAGCGCCTTTTAGTGAAATCTACGGATTTTATATCACCACATATGCTTATTTCAAAGTCACAAGTAATTCTGTATACGTCAGAAACATTTGATAGTAATTTCTTTTTGATTAGTTATTTTATTCATTTTGATCGTCACAAAACTCTGCAAAGTTCTGATGAAGATTTTACTCACTGAAATATATTAAGAGATAAACTAAAGTCCAAAAGTGTGTGGGCGAGGAAAATAATGATTAGTTGTTTACATAGTCAGATCAGAAGATAGCCTGGTAGGTATTAGATGTGTTGTTTATCTTTCTACTCCTTGTTATTATGGTTGTTTTCACTTGTTGACATTAAAATATACTCACATTATAGTTCGGCCAGTCACAGTTGTGTTAAAGTCCTGTATGACAGACACTAGCAGGGTACCCAGTGTAGATATTCGTTTAAGATATTAGTGTTACGTTGGTCTGAAGAAGAAATCCGAAAATTGTTTTAAATTTTATATGAACTAAATTTCGTCCATACCCGTTACTATTATGACTTGATATTTGTAGCTAGTTTCGACCCAATATCATTGATATATAGATTAATTCACGTAGATGAAGTTGTTAATTAACAACAAATGGAGACATTACTTACCATTCGGCGCTGTATTACGCCGTGTTTAGTAACCTACAGATCGTTAGTTGGATAAATGAAAAGTAAGTGATTAGTTTAACTGGCAAACTAGTTCCATCACATCCATTTTAGGTTAATCAATAGTTATGTAAAACTACAGGTTTTTTGCTTGAGTCGAACAGAAATCCAACTAATAAATCATTTTCTGCGTAGATGACATAAACACTAGACTTTTAAACATTAAAACAATCCTTTTGTATTATTCGCTATTAGTAAGCCGAGAAAACCACTTCTTGATACTGTATTTTAGAATAAAATGTGTGTTGTACTTGTGCTGAATGAAAACATGTTTGACCTACTTCCTTGAAGCTGATCAAACGATTCTACTGAGTGGTGAAATTAAGCACGAAAAATATCATTTTATCAGCTAACATCAGTGTCACTGAATGACTCGAGTGATTGTGCAAAGTTTTTCATCATACGTCATGCACGATATCTAACGGATTCTGTCGTTTTTCTTAGCAAAGCTTTAAAAGATAACCAATGCAATTGCTGTGTACTTAAGTATTTTATGCTGTTTTTTTTCGATTTATAATAATAGCATAATGCAATTTCATACTGCGTACTTGGGATTTGAGTTCTATCTTGTGTCTTTTCAAAGTCCTAAAATTATTAGATTTAGTACCGATTCGTTGTATTCAATTCACAAAATCTAATCACTTATTATTGTTATATTTCTAAAATTCATTCACTACATCAGTAGTCCTCTAAAAACTTGTTTTTAACCCTTCCTCCTACCGAAGTCATTAAAGACCTGAGACAGCATTGATGCAGTAAAATGTACCTACAAATAAATCATCTGGTTGATACTAGCCTGATACAAGAATGCTGAACGTTTATTGAAAAAACTTCCAAGAAAATGACTACAACGATCAACTCAAAAAATATTCATGACTACCAATTGGTTAAGTACGGTACGAAGCCATCATTTGACTTTGTGGTGTTATGATAAGTCATGATATGTTGAGGGTATTATTCATTCACAACGTGGATCGCTCGTAATTAAGTCAAACAGTGTTTGCATGAAATCTGTTGGCTTTTCATTTTAGTTGGAATAGTAACGCGTCTAGCTACGTTTCAAGGGGTTAGCCATTGAAAAACTTTCCCCATACGGCCACCAAATATAAGCCATAATAAATAATGGAAAAAAATCTTGAATTAATTTGACGAGAAAGATAGAATAATTTGTTAAAGAATACTGCTCTTCTGGCCTGTATTGGTTGTGGGGGAAAACAAGTTAGCCTATGAACCCTAGTTATAAGTCTGTTTACAAGAAAATTTGATAAAGCATTGGCATTTTTAGTGGTCAACTGATTTCATAAATAATAATCATACAGTGAAAATCTCTAACGACTCACTTCACAGTATTCTGACACAATGCAGAACCTATTTTTATCGACAAAACTTTCATGAATACAGAGTATATAAGGATGTTTTAGACTCGACAAAAGATATGCTTCTTTTTCATACTCTTTTCGAATCGCTCCTGAATTTTCATCAAGTTTTATGCACTTCAGAGCTTTCAAAACCTTCCTGATCACGGTCCGTTCGAAAAGACTATTAATTACGTGCAATTTTGAGATTCGTGGAAGTCCTCCACTAAGTAAGTCTTCCCACTCGCTCCTTTTCCGAGCTTTTTAATCACCTTATATCGACCTTTGAATACATTGATGCTACCGTCCTTCATTTTGAATTATCTCGTAGGATTTATTTACTATGACAACAAGTTTCGATTTTCCGCTGGGAATTATTTTTCAGGAACTTCAAGATACAATAGACCGACCTTTGAATGAGGCATACTCGTTTATTGTTTCTGAACGTTTTGTGTATATCCTTATTTTTCTCGTTCATTGAACAATTATTTCTATTGAACCAGCCTTTGTCAATTTATCAAACTGTTTTGATTTCACTATGCGACATATTATTAATAGTCTAGCGTACTTCTCTTTGTGTCGGTACACTTTTAGATTATGTGTGTCGTCCAAATCGAGTATTCTAATCACTTGTCTGTTTTAGTCCAAATGGGTCTACTCGTTATGGTTTCGCAAATGCCAAACGTTATGACACAAGATATTAGTGTGTCGCAATCATAAAAAAACTCGGATACGTGAGATTGGATAAAAAACTGACTGAAAAAAATTGGATTGTTCACCCAGTACGCAAACGAAAGAATGGACATAAGTGCCGGAATAACAGACGAACGTTATGGGACCTTATGTAAAAATATTTAACTTAATACAATGAAACCGTTTGCAGAAATTCGCTATTAAAAATGTATCCGAGTATCGAGACATGGTTTTTTGCCATTCAGTTAGGTAAACAGGTAACCATAATGTATTATTTATATCCACTTAGCTAGTTTTTGGTGGTTCCTATAAACCGACTTGTCCGGAAGCTAGAATAAACTATGTGGCATCGACGTAGGACCAGCCACTACAACTTCAAAAGATCATCAGAAGTGCATTACCAAGTACATGAGCACATACATAAAAAAGGAGGTTAAAAATTAGTTATTTCAAAGTAATATCAACCGAGACCGACCAGTCGTACTTTCTCTTTGTCCTGATGTAGCAATCAAATTCACCAGGCGACCAAATTGTTTTTATTTAGATTTTTTGTCCAAGGAGTACACAAAAGCAGTGATTGGCATCACTCCGCGCCAATAACCTCGTGGTTTGACATCGCCAAACGAGGCATCGATATATTGCGACAGATAACTAAGGTGTACATGAACAATTGGTAGTTTTGCGGAAGAGGTCTTTGTATCTGTCCCTATCAGTAACAACCAAACTATAATAATTAGCTTGAAAATTTACAATTCATTTTTGCCAAGGCGTCAAAAACAGGAACCATCTGTCACATAATTTCGTTGTGCAGATGACTGTGAACAGGCTCATATCTTCTGATTTCGAATTCGCTTGTATTTTACCCTGTTAACTAACTTATGCCAGGTGTACTTTGACGTTTTAACAACTATGCCCCACTTTCTTACTGGATTTTAATGTATTCACACTTATAATTTCAATTGAATATTTTACCCTTAGTGTTAGTTGTTCACACCATTTCGTAACAAAGTTCGCTTGAGTAATATTTTTTAATAGTAAAATATTATTACTTAATCATGTTTTCGGACATTTTTGCTTATCCGCAAAGTAGTAAGTGTAAGATCCAAACTAAGGTTTGGACTGAAGAATAGCTGTCTTGGTGGGTTAGATACGCGCCCTTGCCCGTTTGAAACCAAAACAAAGTAATCGGGTGAAATGACGGTTCTATAATTCATCATAAATTTAAATGTACATCGTTACCTAAACAAATATAACCACCCAGCTATCCAACCAACAATAGTTCAATTAATCAAATCTAAATTACAATAAATAAGAAAGTTGAAAAAGGATGCTAGAAAATTACCAATCGCAACAAATAAATGTTATTCTATCCTGTCTGGATAGATCACACACAGATTCGTTCAAAAGATAATGTTTGGTTGCTTTACAACACCAAGTGTTTTCAATTCTGGAAGAGTGCTTCAACTCACAGTCAAAAATGCACAATTCCAGTCAATGCACGCAACACAATCAAAGGGAGAAACAACCCAATATAGCTGCCGCCAAGAATAGGTATCAAATCAAACAACATAAATGCAGTTCAGAAAGAAACACGGAAACTTAGTGAAGGCGTAAGAAAAAATAAAAACTGTAATAAAATACAAATGCTATTAACTCAAATGGAATGAAAAAGACTAATACAAATGTACAACCAAAGGTATCAATAAGAATAAACTGCAAGTGTATACATGGAGGGATTTTCACACACAAATAATTCAAAATGGATCTTACACCGGCCCGCAAAATCCCTCCATACAACACAAGCCACCTTGATGCCTATGGTCATGGTTCATACCACAACATATTCTACTACACAGGAACGAGCAGGACTTACAACAGTACACCTACTCGACCTACCTACTTTGATAATAGCAAAGAACTAATTCGAACCTTCAAGAAGACATACCTTACGTATATCTCTTCTAACTAACCCATTATTCGTACGAACAGTAACCGTCCTAACCTTTTCGTCGTTATCTATTTCACAACCTTCTACTACTCCCAAGGGCCAATTTCCACGGGTCGAAATATCCGAGGTCACGATTACTACATCTCCCTTTTGAAAATTGTGATGTTCAGCAAACCATTTTTGACGTTTTTGTAAGGACGGTAAATACTCTCTTAACCACCTTTTCCAAAACACATTAGCTAGATAATTGACCTGTTTCGAACGTTTGTCATATTTGTCTCGAACGCTACCTTCATCTACTATTCCGTCACATTCTCTCAATAACAGCAAAGTGTTTGGCGATAAGGCTAGCTTATCGTTAGCATCTTGGATAACTGGAGTTAAGGGTCGATCGTTCAGTATTCTTTCTACTTCGACCAAATAAGTGCCTAAAGCCTCATCAGTTAAAGTCTGTTCTCTGGTGATCAACAATAACAGTCGGCGTATAGACCTAATCATCCTTTCCCATACTCCACCCCTGTGGCTGGATGAGGGCGGGTTAAAATGCCATTGAATCTGCCTCGCTGACGGCTCGTTACTTATCTTCTGCTGATTAAACTGTTTCACAAATTTCCTTAGTTCAGTGACTGCACCCACGAAATTTGACCCATTGTCACTGTAAATTTCTGCAGGTTTCCCTCTTCTTCCAATAAAACGTACTAAGGCCATTATAAAGGAATCAGTATTCAAACTATACGTCACTTCAATATGTACTGCTTTGGTTTGCAAACAAGTAAATACACATCCATATCTTTTTTCTAATGACCTTCCTCTTTTGACTAAGAAAGGTCCGAAGTAGTCTACCCCTACATTTGAGAAACTATACCAGCCTTGCTGCACTCTGCAAACTGGAAGCGGTGCCCTCAATTGTTGTCCTAAATTCATCGTAAACCGTCGGCATGTCATACACTTTCCTATCACTCTTCTAACTATGCTAGTTCCTTTTACTATCCAATAGCTTTTTCGAATTGTGGCCAGTACTTGAGACGTTCCTGTGTACCCTTGTTCTTTATGATAATGTCTAATTATCATTTCCGTCACCAAGTGTCGACTGGGTAAAATTATTGGATGTTTAAAAGCATCGGAGAAATCTGAGTAGCTTAAGCGACCTCCAACACAGATTAACCCGTCCAGTATTATAGGTGACAATTCTTTCAGATCATTATGACTAACTACTTTACTGTGGGTTTTAAATTCACTAAATAATTCTCCATACACTTCTTCCGAGTTGGTGACCCATTTCTTTAATTTAAAACCTCCTTTACGTAATAATTCAGTTATCTGCTTAACAAACTCCTTCGCCTGATCGCAAGTAGAAAATGATATCAAGCAATCAACATAGAAATTGTTCTTGACAGCATCTACGACATACCGATCATAACTATCAGAGAATGTTTGAGCTGTCTTAATCATGGCAAAGTTCGCACAAATCGAAGATGACGTGGCACCAAATGGATGAGAGGTCATTTGAAATTCAGATGGCTCCCTCGACATGTCTCCCTCCTGCCACCACAGAAATCTTAAAGCTCCTCGATCAGACTCAGGGACCTTCACCTGCATGAACATTTCCTCAACATCTGCAGAGATTGTAACTGCCTCTTTGCGAAAACTCAATAATATACACACTAGCTCAGCGGTGGTGTCGGGTCCTTGACAAATCATATCATTTAGGGAAACGCCTGAAAACTTGGCGGCACAATCGAGGACCATTCTAAGTTTTTCTGGCTTTTTCGGATTTAACACGGCATGATGAGGCAAATACCATCGGGGGTGGTAATTAGGCTGCAAGTGTATTTCAGGGACCTTCTCCGCATAGCCCTTAACAGAATTACTTTCAATACTTTTCGTATACTTGATGTGCAGACTGTCATCCCTCAACAATCTTCGCTTCAAACTCTGTAATCTACTGTTTGCTACTTCATAATTCCCCACTTTCATGTTTGGATTCTTTTTCCATGGTATAGGAACTACAAAATGCCCATTGTCGAAGCGCGTGCTTCTTTCCACAATCTCTATGGCCGCCTTGTCTTCTACCGATACTGATTTATCACCTGAATAGACATCTGCAAATTCCACATCACAAAGCTTACGTATTTGGTTTTCCAATGTCTGTACTTTACTAGTAAGATTAACAACTCTTTTCCTAAATTCCGGGTATGATGCAGGTCCAAAGACAGTCCACCCTAGCAACGTTTTCACAGCGTACGGCTTTTTCCTTTCGCCCAACCGCTGGTCTAACACCCAATGTGCTTCCGGCACGTCGCAACCAATCAACAGTAGAACTTCTCCATAGTCCAGATTATTTATTGGTACATCACTTAAATGCGGCCACCTAACTAGATTGTTCATTGCCGACTTCGTTGGTTTATGCCCTGGTATACTTGCCACAATCAGAGCTCCTTCAATCGTAATATGTTCAGATCGATCTAAAGAATATACTTCAAAAGGCGTATTCGTGACCTTTGTTGTTCTATTACCACCCACAGTCTCAACTACCACTGACGCTTGGTCTTCCTTCAGCCCGAGAGACCTCAAACAGTTTGATTTAATCAACGTTACATCAGAACCGTTATCCAACAGAGCATAACCCACAATTTCGGCATTTTCGGACCTCAACCGCACAGGAATCATTCCTAAACACACTTGACTATTTAGTGATTTAGTATATCCGCAATAATTCTGAGTACCAGGTTTAGCACTTGCGCCGTCGGTTGTTGAATCACAATGCAGCAGAGAATGGTGTTTTTTCCCACACCTATCAACGTTACAGCGCTCTGTCAGTTTACATTCATTAGCTTTATGTCCTTGCCTAAGACAAACAAAGCAGATACCCTTGCTCTTTGCGTGAGACCATCGTTCTTGAACTGTAAGCGCTAAAAATCGTGGACATTTATAAACAGAGTGGTCATCGGAACATATACTACATTTACTTTTTGTGGTCGAACCATTCCACTGCCCCGATTGTAAGTGACAACTCGTCTTTACGTTATATCCCCTTTTTGAACGATTTGCCAACCGTCCAAATCTACTACTGGCTACTCTCGCACGAGATGCTATAAACTCAGTGAGCTCGTCAAACGTTGGTTCTCTATCGTCTTCAGTCAATTTATCCACGAAGTTCGCCCACTGAGCTTGCATAGAGTGAGGCAAAAGAATGACTATTCGCTCTAAAGTAACTAAAGAATTTAGATCAGCAGTATAATTCATCTGTTCCAAGATCATAGCACAATTTTCCATTTTCATAGCCAGGTTCGATAGCTGCTCTGCGTCATTACAATCAACATTTACTGTATTGAATAAGTCTTCCAAGGTTTCTCGAGCGATTACATGCGACTGTCCGAACAAACGTTTTAGAATTTCTCTGGCCCGCTTATAACCAACAGATGCTTTCATCATGACACAACCCTCGATAGCAGATTTTGCTTTACCCTTACAATAGTGTATCAAATAGAGCAAACGTTGGCTATCATCAATGACTCTTGACGCTACGTAGGTTTCAAACTGCCTTATAAACTTCCAGTACTCTTTTGGCTGTCCATCGAAATAACTTAATTCAACCTTTGGTAACTCTAAACATACGTAAGGTGTCACAGGCATGACGCTCTTCGCTTGCTTTACATCTGAACTAGGATTTTCCACGTCATCTGCCACTAAATCACAACTAGACTCACTATCATGATAATCAACCCTACTTGAGTCTGAACCATGACACTTAAGGACATCAAAAGGTACTTGCTTTGTAAGAGGGGATCCATCATTTAGTTTAGCTCCATTAGCACCGAGCTTTGAACTTGACTTTCTTTGACGAGTGTTCGGCATCACGAGAGAAACGACCAAATATTTTCAGAAACAGCAATTAAAATCCGCGAAGCGATAGCCAAACAACTTCGACCAATCGATATTTGTTTAGAACTGTAAGATCCAAACTAAGGTTTGGACTGAAGAATAGCTGTCTTGGTGGGTTAGATACGCGCCCTTGCCCGTTTGAAACCAAAACAAAGTAATCGGGTGAAATGACGGTTCTATAATTCATCATAAATTTAAATGTACATCGTTACCTAAACAAATATAACCACCCAGCTATCCAACCAACAATAGTTCAATTAATCAAATCTAAATTACAATAAATAAGAAAGTTGAAAAAGGATGCTAGAAAATTACCAATCGCAACAAATAAATGTTATTCTATCCTGTCTGGATAGATTACACACAGATTCGTTCAAAAGATAATGTTTGGTTGCTTTACAACACCAAGTGTTTTCAATTCTGGAAGAGTGCTTCAACTCACAGTCAAAAATGCACAATTCCAGTCAATGCACGCAACACAATCAAAGGGAGAAACAACCCAATATAGCTGCCGCCAAGAATAGGTATCAAATCAAACAACATAAATGCAGTTCAGAAAGAAACACGGAAACTTAGTGAAGGCGTAAGAAAAAATAAAAACTGTAATAAAATACAAATGCTATTAACTCAAATGGAATGAAAAAGACTAATACAAATGTACAACCAAAGGTATCAATAAGAATAAACTGCAAGTGTATACATGGAGGGATTTTCACACACAAATAATTCAAAATGGATCTTACAGTAAGTTCGATCCATATGCACTTAGCTTCATTTTAGTCAAACGGTCTGAACTTTGGCGAGTTAGAGTTGATTAGTGCGCACACAATTAGTAGTTGTTCATGATTTACTAATTTTATGATAAAATATTTGTTAGTAGTTTGTTATACTGTCATTCATTTAGCAGCATAAATAAAACACAGTTGAAACAAGAGAAGACTACACTTTGTTGAAGATTTCATCCGTACTTTAAACTTTTTTTCATGTCAAATGTAGCATGATTAATTTCATCTTCCTTCATAACCACATTAAGTTAGGCTACCTGGAAAATATAGAAATCGCTTAAAGTGCACGCCATTCCCAAAGGTTTATGTGGTGTTTGAATGAACTTGTAGTGGCATTGAGCCGTAACACGAGACAAACTGGAAAATAGACATTCAACATTAAACGCTGGGAAATACCGAACAATGAAGAAAAGCGGGAACAGTGAATTGAATTAATATGAGTTAATCTTATGGCATGGCTCGACCATGCAGGCTAAATGTTACGTTATGTCTTTTATTCATATTAAATATATTGTTCCATCTCTAGCCTAAGCTTGTTCTCTATCACGTATTGGTAATTGTTACAATGCAATGAATCGGTGTAGACGATGATTTAACTTCCACGTAAGATCTTATAGCTTAGGCAGTTACATCATGATAAATCTACAATTTTAAGATTAGGTCTATTATTAGAGCAGTGCTAATATCATAGTTGACCGTAAGTGTAAAAACTAATGATTCCTTTGTACTTCTGGAATTCTTGATTTCGAATTCTAAATACACTACGTTCGTCAGTGCTTGTGTAGTACTTCTTGATTGAATTGTGTTATTTCTGGGATTCTTAGTTTGTAATATAATTCAATTACTCCTAATAATCATACTGGCGTCGCAATTGAGCCTGTGATGGAGTTGTTGGATATGCATTCAGATTTTGATGCTTTTGAGGATTACTTTGAAAGGTTCGAAATTTGGGCTATGACCATGGAAGATGATGAAGATGTTAATATTATAGCACATTCCCTCACGTTCATCGGGTAAGAAGCATATAGCTTATTGAAAACTCTGGCTTTGCCGGAAAAGTCCATTTCGCTTCCTTATGCAGTTCTGTTAGACTATGATAAGTATACAAATTTTGAATGCAACAAAGGAGGAAGATTTCGTAAAATGATTCATGAGGATATAAAAAATTCCACTACATTACGTCACCTCAACCCAGTGCATACTCAAGGTTATGCAGACAATTCATTGAGGAGTTGCGATGCACTTCACGAAGACGGGCACAAGTTTGGTCAATATTTGTTCTGTGGCAAGTTCCACTCTTTTAATTCATGTAAATTTGGAACTTCTAAGTGCTTTAAATGTGGTGATATTGGACATATTCAGTCAGTTTGTAATACTGCTGTTCATCTTGCTGCAACTAATATTAAGTCTTCTAATTCTGATTCAATTAAGTTGAGTATTTATAATGATCATTTATCTTTATCGACGATTTCAAAAGACAGTTTAGAGTCATATAGCAGTTCAGAGTTAAATGAAACTCAGAATCCTTGCGAGGCAACAATTTCTAATGAATCAACCTATCAGATTTCTCATGTTATTGTACCAGATATGATTTTTCCTAATGATTCACATGTTTCTGATGAAATTTCTCACAAATCTGGTGAAAATATTTCGGATGAACCTATTCATGATCGAAAACCTGATGTAGTTCTGATTGATGCTGATTTTTCTAATGATCCTTTGCTCTGAAATGACATTCTTAAAGAATTTGAGTGAACTATTTAAGAAGGATCAAATCTTGATGTTATATCAAATATTATTTGTCCCCATGATGCATTTGTTTCTTGTGAGAAACTTGTTCAATGCAAAGCACGAGTATTAAATGTGCTCGATTCTGATTACAATTTAGATGATTCCATATCAACTGTTGTTTGTCCTTATGATAAATTCACTTCCAATGATTGCTCTAGTCAAATTGAGAAAGATGTTTTAAATGAAGCCAAATTATTCATAACTTGGGGATATGAAGATCCGACATTATTTCGTGGGGGAGGACCATCTGAAAGTCTATGGTTCAAATTCTAGGTAGCAGTATTTTCAGTACTCAACCAACATGATGATTGTACACAATCCCAGAAATCAAATGAGTCTGTTCCGATTTCCGTTGTTAATTCTAATACTAATGAGTGCATCCTAGATAATACAGGGTCTTTATACAATACACTGTCGGACAGACACAGGATGAACTTAAGAAGAAGACGTGCAATCAATTACAGACACCTGGACTCCAATTTAAGCTGCCGCGGATGTGGTGTTTGAATGAACTAATGACTCCTTTTTACTTGTTGAATGTTTGATTTCGAATTCTAAATACAGTACATTCGTTAGTGCTTGTGTAGTACTTCTTGATTGAATTGTGTCGTTTCTGGGATTCTTAGTTCGTAATATAACTCAATTACTCCTAATCATTATAGTTTACTAGTTGACAATAAATTAAAAGCGAATTCGAAATCAGAAGATATGAGCCTGTTCACAGTCATCTGCACAACGAAATTATGTGACAGATGGTTCCTGTTTTTGACGCCTTGGCAAAAATGAATTGTAAATTTTCAAGCTAATTATTATAGTTTGGTTGTTACTGATAGGGACAGATACAAAGACCTCTTCCGCAAAACTACCAATTGTTCATGTACACCTTAGTTATCTGTCGCAATATATCGATGCCTCGTTTGGCGATGTCAAACCACGAGGTTATTGGCGCGGAGTGATGCCAATCACTGCTTTTGTGTACTCCTTGGACAAAAAATCTAAATAAAAACAATTTGGTCGCCTGGTGAATTTGATTGCTACATCAGGACAAAGAGAAAGTACGACTGGTCGGTCTCGGTTGATATTACTTTGAAATAACTAATTTTTAACCTCCTTTTTTATGTATGTGCTCATGTACTTGGTAATGCACTTCTGATGATCTTTTGAAGTTGTAGTGGCTGGTCCTACGTCGATCCCACATAGTTTATTCTAGCTTCCGGACAAGTCGGTTTATAGGAACCACCAAAAACTAGCTAAGTGGATATAAATAATACATTATGGTTACCTGTTTACCTAACTGAATGGCAAAAAACCATGTCTCGATACTCGGATACATTTTTAATAGCGAATTTCTGCAAACGGTTTCATTGTATTAAGTTAAATATTTTTGCATATGGTCCCATATACTAGATTCTGGTGGTATATCGTAATGGTTGTTCGCAAATTTGGAGACGAAAATGGAATAAATTTATTTGTTGATCATATGTTAGACAAGCCAAAATGTTTCGCTACTGGTAGCAGTGTCTGTTATTCTGACGAGAATAAAGCATACAAAAAATACACACATAATTTATTCGTGATTAGAAACGCTAGGCATAACATTAATTAAAAATTACAATAAACTGAAAACTATTTATTACTTACATTGTTCCCAGCTGATGGATGCGAACAGTAATGGTCTCTAAAATTCACGAGGAGAAAACGATTTCCTGTTAGGCAACATAAATATGTTATCTTAAAACATGATTCAGAGGATGAAACGTATCCGGAAAAAATGATATCAAACCGTAAGTTATTCTCGAAAAATAGATAAGGAATTGGGTGTATGGGCGAACAATGTTAAGACAAAAGTAGGAAAGAGACGGGTGTATATGATAGATGTAGAGAACAGTACTGTCGTGACAGCTAAATGTGCTATCATTAGAATATAATAGATTTTGACAAGAATGACAATTTTTTAGTGTAATACAATATGACTTCTAGGCCTCCAAACCATAAGTAATTTCAGCAACGCAAGTGGCGTAGTTATTCAATAAGATGAAGAGCACAAGATAGTAACAGAAATCTATCTGGATTCGTCATACCGTTCTCATGGTCAAAGTAATTGAATGAAGCGGTTCTTTTTAGGTAGTTTTAACAGACTAAGTTCCATGATAATCCCTCCAAAGTATTTCATTCGACAGTATTGTTATCTCTTTATTCTTTCATCCTGTATTTTGTTTTAACATTTACTCAGGTGTTTTATAACCATATCTTTGTTTTTCACAGTTTTATCCATCCAGGCCTTGATTAATTTGATTTGTCTAGGGCTTGCTCCACTATCTGATTTTGTCTTCGGGTGATGATGAGCCATTGTCAATAAAGTCTCGTTTGACTGAACTAGAAATTACTGCGAGGAACAGTTGGTCGTTGTTACACTCTGACTATCTGGTCGAGGTGCCATTTAAATGATTAAGGTAGAAATTTGATACCATCATGCTAGAAATACTTCTTTTGATTAATAGAATACTATTTCATGATAAAAATCCTTTCACTGTATTTTGGGTGCTGCATCATTGCGAATCGTGTAAATTAGGCACAAACTTCGTGTTTTCATGTAATTATAGGGAAGAGTTATTTAACCCTTTTTGAGATCAACTTTATTAATTGACAATCTGCCTTACTTTGTTTCAAAGTATTTTCTAAAATAAAAATCCCTAGTCCGCAAACCCATTAACTTTTGGTTCCTCTAAAACTAATTACTGTGGAGATATGAGTCCAACACATTGTAATGTTGACATTTATAAAGTGATGTTTGGCTAAGAATAGATTAAGGATAAACCGAAGTCATTTATATGTTTAGGGTGAAGAAAAAATAAGCACCCAGATACTTTTGGAGTAGAGTATATTCACCACCAAAAAGCCATATTTGTGACCACCCGGAGAGTAGTGTTACTGGAAACTCACTTTGGGATTTGAGGGGAGAGGCTAGAAAACCATGTAGTGTATCCGGCAGTTTTTGATCACCGGACAGATAACACTAGTCCAATAAACAGCTTTTCAAACGGTGGTTTTGTTCGTAATGGTTTTCACATTATAGTACTTTTCATCCGATCTTCAGGATTGTTTTACATTATGTACGTTTGTTATGGACTGACGTTGCATATTATTGTATTTTGGTCTGTCTAATTATGTGAAGTAGAAATATCTGAATCATTATAGGAACTGAGAACTCCCAAAATGACGCAATTTGGGTCAGGTAGAACTAGGTGGGTACAAACGAACGTACTGTATTTGGAATTCAAATTCAGATACACATTAAGTACAAAAGAAACAATAGTTCAATCAAACATCACAGTAATACATTTCGGATGAAATTATTGAATTTTTTTCACTTACGGCTACTTCTTCTAGTCCTTCAAAATTATTTATACCTACACAAATGATTTAACAATTGAGATGGTATTTCCTGAAAAATAACTCAACAAGCAATGAAGAAAACTTAGTCTATACGAGATTTTCAAAAAGATTATTATCAATGAAGGTGGATATATATTACTTTTCGATTCCACATTCATTCCGAAGGTAATTTCTACTTCGTGTTTCTTGCATATTGAACCAAAGGAGTTCATTTTACGGTTATGTGCGCTACTGAGTTGTTGTCAATGAAGGACTCAGTAAGCAAAGAAGAAAATACAAAATCCAAAGCTCAGCTTAAAGCTGAAAGGAGGGCTATTCAAGTAAGATCCTTATAACTCAAATCATAATACAAGGAAGCTCAAAGAGCTGCGAAAGCTGCTTCCAAAGGTACTGACAAGCCAAAAGTCACGCAAAAACCAAATGCCGTTCCTAGTAGTATGATAATAAATAATGGTGTCTAGTTTTAAATCTTCTCAATATAGATGCACCGAATGCTCACCCAAATCAGGATACATGCATGACTGAACAAAAGACTGTTTCTTCTAAAGATGAGAAAACATGTAAAGATGTGGTGCAAAGTGGGACTAGTTGTATTTTCGTTATTTTCTCCATTCAGGTCAAAATAACCGCCTCGATTATTCCAGCCTTAAAATTGCTGAGCTTCCGAAGTCCAGAACACAAGAGTCCTGTCGCGTTCACCTCTTCAAGCATCTTGACCAACCAGACAAGCGAGTAAATGTTATCAGTTATCTTGGGTATGTAGGTTTCCTTATGTACTTATCTTAGCATCTATACAACATGAATTTTAATCAGTCATGAACATCAGGTGCCTTTTTTTATCTCAACTTCATAGGTAGTGTCCTAATTTAGCTAGGTTGCAACTGCTATTCTCATTTTATCCACACTCTGTGGGTAGTAAACTTGAATTAATTTATGTGTATCCTTTACAACTGGAGCAACTTGATCATGCTGCAGTTCCATTTCTTGGTGAATTCCTTAGACGTGCTTGGTGATTCACTTATAGTAAAGATGAAGTATTACGTTAGGTTTTCACTTTCACCTCTATTATTCCTCTCTGTAAATGTAGGTCAATCGTATAATTCAAATTGATATGTAAGCGAAAATAACTGGTACTGCACAGGCTAGTGATTTGGTAGAGTTTCGTCCTTACAATTTTGTTCATCTTGAGACATCCCCATTTGTCGGTAGTCACATGAAATCAAAGTATTTTGTTAAATAAAATGTAGCACTTATTCCGTCTTTTCATGATTTATAATGTAAAAAAGTTATTAGTTAGCTTCAAGACCTTTAAGTTTTGTTCAGTGCAGAATGTCGTTTGCAAGTCCGAATATGATTCCTTCATTGACTCATAAGGCGGTGAGTTGTTTTCAGATTACCTGCATAATCATATCTGAATCTATTAGTGGTTCGAATGATTAGAATTGGTGTAAAACTACTTGATTTCAATATTGAAGTATTTTTCAGCATGTGTACATCATAATAGTGAATCGGTGATTCAAAAATGTCCATTAATATGACACTAAACTTTTGAGGAGTATAGTCGAGTATTTTAGTCTATGTTCCAGGGTCACTAGTACATGTTAACCTGGTCAGTAAGTTGAAAAGTCGAACTTTGGCGACTGTTAGTTATATCAAATCAGTTTATTTCGTGTTAGTAAAGTTGATATTCTCTGAATAATGTTCACAAATTTTTACTAATGATCCCTAAGTGTTGTTTTTTCATGTTATTCGCCTGAGCTGAAGTATTTTTATCAAGCTTCCCCATTCACCCTATATATTACGTTATTTTTCTTTATTCAGTTTAGGTACTCATTCCTCAATCCATCCTTCATTCCTCACTCTGGGTGTCGATTTTGACGAAGATCGAATATGGGGCTCCAATGAGAAGTGTTTAGCGTTTTTGTCGTCTTGTGAAGAACTCATACGTTCATTCATTCCGAAGTCACCTACCGAAAGAATAAACAATCACACTGGAACAAATGATGCTCTGTTTTGCCGGAGTTTCGGACCAGTTTTGCAAGCTCATGTAAACTTTCTTCAGCTTTGTCGTCCATTATCTGTTACGATATATAATGCTTATCAGTATCTGAAGCAGACGCTTACTCGCCTAGATTCCGTGGAAGATTGGGATGAGGTATGATATTTTATGATTGTATGTCATACTCTTATAGGCGTTTTTGACTTTCATGGTTTTCTCCCCATTATTAACATTAACTGTATTACTTTCCTCAATCTTTCACTACCACAGAAAAACATGGACTATATAATTAAAAGACATACATAGGCTTGAAGTGTTTGGTCATAAATGTTTTCGTAACATCTCTCACATATGGTAGAACCATCGAGTTAGCAGTGCTAAGATTAAGCCAAAATACTAAGTGAAAAGCCAAGTCCATTGTTGAGTTTATAAACTTACGTTAACCAACAGTTAGCAAATATGTTATGGATAGATAACTAACTCTTATCCCAGCCTGCAGTGTTAACTGAGATATAAATGAGTTGAGAAAAATTTATTAGCGAGAAAACCGAGACGACATGATTTCTCTGACTGATGGTTCGAGCTGTCATAAGTTCCAGACTTTTTGGCTGGGACTGATACAGTAGTTGCAGCCAACGTTGTAAGACACTTGGTTATCTAGCCCAAAAGCAGTTACTCCTGGGGTTACATTTATTTTGTGTGTCCCTCTAAGTCGTGAGTTTATTATCATCTCTAACTTCAGTCTTTAGTATCATTTGTTCCTTTTGAGCTGTGTTCCTCGTGTTTGGAATTCCATTGTTTTCGCTATTATCTTCCATAGTGTTTTTTGTCTTACTGCTTTTTCACAATAGTGTAAGGTGCACCAACTTGGATCAATGCATACTCGTGCCAAGTTTGATATTCATAATGACTAACTGTGGATGTTACAAACGAATTAGCTTGACTTGCGTCCATGATCACTCAATGACTGACTGAAGCATAAACAACCAACACTGAAAAGTCAGACTTGTTTGATCAATAATGTATAAGTTACTAAAAAAACTTCACTTTTCGGTTCTGTACACTAGCCCATGGTCTTTAACTTACAGGCGAAAGTTGACGTTCTATAAAAACCTCTTAACTGTGTCATTGAACAGCATATCTGACGATAAAATCATACTTCTGCCAGACCTTTATGTTTGGTAATATTAGTCGTTCCGAAGATGGTGGTAAGCTATCATGGGAAGTAACTACATCGAGTATTTTCAGCGGGGTTACCATTGTTCGGTTAGTTTTTGACTAAAAACACTTTCTCCCATACAGATATCCCATAGTCGCTCTACATCAAATGAACAAGATATTTTCATGAAGTGAAACCTTTAACAAATCAAATGTCTACTTTAGTATTCTTGTTGCATAGTTGAGCCCTGGTTTGCAAATAATTAACGAAACCTCTGTGCACATACAAACGTTTGTTCAATTTTTGCTTGTGGCACAAGTGAAAAGTGTTCACGCTTATTAAAGAAGGGATGTGTTACGTAGTCTTCACTATTTTTCGTAGCTAATGTAAACCAGCCATTACTATTAGATGAGCTAATCTTATAGTTAGTGACAACACTATACGAGTTAACCAAAGTCACTGATGATTGTCTCAAGCTCGTGTTACTAAATTGAAATGACAATGTGTGGGTCAACGCCTAGTATATTAACCTGTTCTTGATAAATAAGTTACATGCCTTTAAAAATTATTCTGGGACTTATTTCGAACATAACCAAACAACAACATTAATAAGAACCTAACAACTTTGCGGCATTATATCATTACTTATTACCAACGTCAATCTATTTTTCTACATTTAGTGTAGAGGCAGTTTTTTATCAGCCATCGTCGAATTTAGACGTGGTTCAATTCACTTGGCAGGAGATGAAATTGTAGATCGTACAGTTAATTTGATTCGTTCCGGTGAATGTGTTTGTATATTTGGATATTCATCATTGGTAGCCCGTGTGCTGGAACGTGCATGGAAATCTCCATGCAACACATCTGTCAATCAAGTTGATGCAAATGTTGATTTTTTAGCGAGCAAAATGAAAAAATGTTTTGTAAACACTAAATTCGATCCATCAAATAAAAATACAAACAGAGTGTTTAGTGTTTTTGTTGTTGACTCTCGACCGAAATTTGAGGGTAGACAAATGCTAACCAGATTGTTGAAAGCAGGAATACCATGTGAATATACACATATTGGTGCATTGCCAAGTGTTGCAAATAAGGTATGAATAAGTTTACTTTTGGATACTAGTATGTAAAAGTATTTTACTAACCCTAATAATTTTCACTTCTGTGTAGGTAACATATACATGTGTAATGGATAAGTTTTAACACCCGAAATTACCTAGCTTTTACACTAAATACAAGCTTGTTACGTACTTCGAATAAATACATGAGTTGGAAGTTAATCGTATTCAGTTCGTTCACGTGTTCCTATCCGGTTCATATACTTTATCACAAATGGTTGTTTAATACAGTCATGATTTGACTATCATCAAAGTGGGTACTCAAAAGGTAGGTATTATTATCGTCAGTTCAATCGAGGAAGCGGACATAGCAAAATATGCTTATAATGCTACTCCTTAGATTTAATTTCAGAAACCGGTGTTTTGGCGCAAACTATGAATACAAGTAATTACCACGATATGAAATTTCCTTAAAGTTCAATTTTTTAAAATAAGTTGTCTTCGCTAAACAGAAAACTATTAATCAAGGTTCTTTATTTTTATGTTAAGAATTCTAATAGTATATTTCCATTTCGGGCAAACTTTAGTATTATCTCAATAAGTAAAACACGGATTAAAATTGAGTTTTTTGTTGATGAGAAACCAGGTTAAAAATATACAGATATTGTAATGACTTACTCCCCCAACTGAGAATTTATCGTCATATTAAAGTAGGAATTACTGAAAACCGTGAAATAAACGAGTTCTGTCATATACTGCTTCAGTAATAATGACTTCTGGTTGATTGCTTTCAGGGAGAAATGTTTTGGTGCATATTGAAACTCATTGTGGAAGTGCACCTTTTTCTGTATGTCATTATAATATTCAGTAAACATGATAACTGAATTCTTCCACACTGCTGTCTATTTCACAACTCACTGTAATATTGTGACAGCTAAAAGCAGATCTATAAGTGGTTTATCTACGTAACTGGATGGAGAATTAATGATCACCAAGGTTGGATAATTAGAAGCAAATCAGCTAATGAAGGCAGGCATGAACGACGTTAAACCTGACTCGAGTGTATCACTCCACGGTGTTGCACATTACACTACTGACAATGATGGAAAATTACATCAACACTAAGTGAATTAGATCAGAATGAGAGGTGTAGTATAGCATCATTCAATACTCAAAAATAAATAGTGATAGTAGAATAGTACACATTCCAACTACTCTCGTCAACATAGGTTCAAAACCACATTAACTGATTTACCACCTTCATTCAAGATTTTTCTTAGTCATGCTTACATACCATATATTCCTCGATTGATGGTACGAGGATAAATTGCTGGAATACCATTTCTTATAATCTAAAGACACGTAGTGATACAACATACAATTTAGATTTAAATTATTAAATATTCCGTAAAAAATGGTTCCACTGGTTATTTTTTTGTCGAGAGGTCTCACTATTTGTTGATAAAGCACTTACATGACATAGCTTTTGTTACACTATCGAGATCTATCCTCTGGTACACAAAATGAATTGATATTGCCATACTCAAGTAAATCTCGACTAAAATTAATTTGTGCATAGTAAACTTATCTCAGGTTGATCTTCAATATACTGTCCTACTTCTGATAACGCTTGTTGGATTATTCTAATATGATTGAAGATCAAATTTCTTCGTTGCAAGATATGTCTTGTGTTTCTGGTTTTCATTCGTTAACAGTGTAACATTTGCTTTCAAACTAAGCATTGACTACTTTTGATTTATTTTTATTTGAAATACAGATATCTCTAGTTATTCTGGGCGCCCATGCTCTTCTTAGCAATGGCTACGTACTAGGTCGTATGGGGACCGCTCAAGTAGCCAACATTGCAGCCTCTATTTCTCATGCTCCAACAATTGTGTGTGCTGAAACTTACAAATTTTGGGAGCGCGCCCATTCTGATGCATTCGAGTATAACGAACTTGGAGATCCTGACGACATTTGGCGAGGTCCACGAGGTACATCACCAGACTATAAGAAAGGTATTCCTGGTTTCGGTCCAGCTGGACTTCCAGATAGAATTGAATCATCTACAACTGATTTGAGTGAATGGCGTTCAAATTCTAGTCTTCGACTGTTACATTTAGAATATGATGTGTTACCACCTACATTGGTTACAGCTGTAGTAACTGAAAAGGGCACCTTACCTACAACCTCTGTTCCTGTAGTCCTGCGAGTAAAACAAGCTTCTATAACCAATGTGTAATTTTTTTTATTTTTTGCATTTTGTAAAAGTGTACTTATTTGTTGTTATGATTTGGTATTGTAGGTGTATTGAAATGCAATAAACGCACAGTATTAACTTTCACTATTTTGCTATGATTCTACTAGCGATTATATTCGGTTGTCCGTACCAAATTTAGTAGATTTTTAAGGTTTAGGTTAAATATTGGTTAACTGAATTAATCCTTTTTATGCATTGCACGGTGAAGAGATAAGTTTAACCGGCAGACTTTTTTCATTTCTAACTACATTTAAGTTCTTAGAAGTGACTTCATCCGATATCCATTAATTAAAAAGTTGCAATATTTGCATCAAGATAATTGATTTTAAGCCAGTAGTTAGGCTATCCTAGCAGGCTATATTATCTCCAACACTTAGTCCTTAAGTTTCTACTATCCTAGGCAAGTCGGTTAAAGAACAAAAGAAGAAAATCTTAGACTACATGACTAAATCGTACTGTGGAGGATACCTGACTGTATTTATATTTTTTTAAACAAACAATCAAGGTTTTTAGCGAGTCTATTTTTTTTTTCTATAAGCGAAAAGTTGAAAAACATGACTACAGGTATAACATTGAGTTGAAACACAAGACTTGAATTTGTGTACTTAATTGCAGCTGATAGATACTTGTTATCTGTTCGGTCAAATGGCGCTTTAAAAGATCGAGGGAACTACTGTCATTTGTTATTTCCTAAGGCTCTTTCACTAATTACAGCTCAACCAAAGTAATATGAGGGTTCTTTCTAAAATTCGCATGCACATGCGTATGCGGCAATTGTTATAAGTGACCTTATTGCAAGTCGACTAAACTATGCAGAAATACACTGAAGTATAAACTAAGGTACTCCAAACCAGTGAAAACCAATTACAACTGACTTATGTTGCCCGTATGTTCCTAAAAAATGCTAAATTTAGACAAGAGCAATTTAACGTGACAAACTATAAGCACAGACATACAGACCTTAAACAATGGGTTTGTTCTTTAACTTAATGGCGATATTTAGGTTTGTCCGCCGAGCGATTTCTCGAAAATTGCTATCATTCAAATATGCATTGAGGACGCTCATTCTCTTTTGTTTTACTCAACCTAGCCTCTGATTTGTTTTGGGAGTAGTATTCCCATCACTCAATCTTTCGTGAATTTGTTCTTCACCATGTGACTGTCTGTGCACACAGAAAGCTTCATCTTTCTGTTAGTGCTGGTGTCGTACGCTACAAGTATTTGACCGTAGGCACATTCAATGTATTGCTCTCATATGGTGAAACCATAGTTTTGAGATCCTACGGTTACACATAGAGAGTACTAGGTAAAGTTGGTTGATGTTTCAAACTTTCGTTGACTGATAACGCTAGGGCATTTATTACGTATCCCAGGCCATGGCCTACCAATGCTGAGGATGTGATATCTTAGAAAAACTGAAGATGTTATCTGTTGACAATTTTTAATGATCATACCTATGGTTGATAACAAATTAGGTGTAGAAGTTACTCCTATCTGAAATGTGGTCGTTTTACCGGTAAACTGAAGAGGCTGTGATTAATTTTTCTCAAAGTCTTTGTAGTAGTTATTTCAATAGAACACTTGAGAGTACTATATATTGGCTCATGTAAGCTGCGAACAATTACGCTAATTGTAATCATATAAACCATCCATTCATCCTGTTCGCGGCCATCGTAGAGCTCTAGCTTCGCGGTTTAATTACTCGATTTTCCTTCTCAATGTGCTTTGGTTTGAGTGGTTGGGTTGACTGAATTCTAGTAACTTGCTGTTCAAGGTTGTAGCAGTGGCATAGATTTTAGTTTAATGATATCGTATAGTTGTCATGCTTATCCATCACTATGTTCCTCATTTACTTAAAATATTTTACCATTTGTGGGGAATCGTATGATTTTGTCCTGTGTTCGATTCTTTATTGTATATATAAAGGACTACAAAGATCATATGGTGCCTTGTTCAGCTTAATGAAACGATATTGCGAAACAGACCTAGATTAGTTATTGTGCCTACACATTTTAGATGTTGTCAAGTAAAAATTAGTAGAAAAGTAACGTAAAACATCACAGTAGTTCGTTAATCATGCTACAAGATACATTTATTCTCACAAACTAACCGTAAAATATCAAAGTAAGCAAAGCTTCTGACACCTATCAAACAAGCGTCCACTTTCCTCAAATGCTTTCACACGTTACATCGCGTAAATTTACAAGTTAATCTAATAGTAAGAGATCACATTACCCCCAAGTTTTGCCAATCAGTAGTAAATATTGTTCTAAAAGTTTTTTTGGAAGGAGTATAGGACGGAATTTACTGTGCGAATCTCTATCATAAGTTTACTTTTTTAAAGACAGGTAACAACTTTGTTTAAGTTATTTAATCATACTAATGTCTTAACTACTTAGTATGTTTGTTAGTAACTTGAGTAATTTGACTTAAAATATGTTTCATTTTGGTGGGGACAAAAATGACGAGATCCAAGTTGATGGAGGTTCATGACGAAACCGGGCAATTCGATATTTCTACTTAGAAATCAGTGCCTACACCAAGACTATTCACTTGTTGGATAAACTATACTCCAGCGCCTCGTCCAAGACAATGTGGTCAAACGCTTCCACATATTTAATTTCATAAAGACGTCTCAGCTATAAAGTAAAACCGATCTGTCGGTCAGTATTTTAGCTCTGGGATATGCATATGAGTATCTTACTTACGCTAAAAGTAATACAAACTTGCAAAAGCCAGTGAATCTCTTTACTTATTTCAACATCTCATCAACTACTAACCTATGTGTTAGAGAAGCTAAGTGGTGAAAAACCTTGACTAATTTTAGACTAGGGAGAAACGAAGACTAGTTCTAAAGGAAAATTTACATCCATAAATGGCAGTCCCATATTAAAGCGAAAAGGCCGTCCATTGGTTTCAGGTTTTCGATGGTGCTCGAGCTTTAATTCAACAGTTAGGGGTCCGTGATGTTTAACTACTGGGTTTTTTTTACAATCTAGTTGTAAGGCCGAATCTTTCTTCACCTTCGTCGATTCGAGAAGACGCGTCAGGCCCCAAGGCATAGGCTTGTATTTGATGGGTGACTTGCATTAAATTAAATACACTGATTGACTATTTCAATCGTAACCTTCTGAATAAAAAAATAGAACACAGTTACTGAGCTAAGTGATTTATAGTTATGTTTAAGACAAATTAGTTGATTTATATCAGTAAATGAGGAATTCCAGTTCATATCTGATTGTTGACAAGTTTCAACAGAATATCTTATTCGTCATATTATTCAATAACTGGATCCAATATTTTTGCTAAAAACAGTATAAAAGTATCTTGGATTCAGGGACATTGATTACTGTCCACTATAAAGTTAATGTATTTAGTCTAATCCAATAGTGCATCAATCGTATTACTTATAATCCAGAAAAAATAACTTTAACTGGTAGATGTTACATGATCTAGATTTTTGAAAGAGTATAATTTTCGTCGACATTCCAAGTATTTCCGATTTCGAGACAAAATAATGCACAAGTTTTTATTGATTGCCATCTATTACGAATGCTGATTGTAACCATTTATATTGTTAGTTTAACAGTTTGATATTAATAAACATGAAACTTTAAGCGCTTCACTTAAAACAGCGATGGGCATAATGAAAATTGTCACAGAAATTGGGAGCTCTGTAAATTTCTATAATCCTTTTTTTAGACGCATCAAAATAGACAAGTATAAAAATGTATTCTTGTATTAATTATGGACAAAAAAGGAAGATGGTTAACTTCTATTGAAGGTAAATGGAAGAAAAATTTCATCAATTTTATTAATAATCGACAGATGGTGATTTTATCTATCAACCAAGGTAAATAACAGACTTATTTTCTAACTCTTCGTGTTATTTGTTCTTCCAAGATAGAAAGAGTTTGTTCTTGTTTGTAGTAGTTGTAGCAATAGTAATAATGATAACAGTGATAATATATTTGATGTTTACGCCAATGCATTACCAGGTGGTCAATTTAATAAATCGAATTCAAGTATTCCTTCACTCTCCTTCTAACCTTTCCCACCCCACCTTCCGCCACTTAGCCCATATATATATATATATATATATATATATATATATATATATATATATATATATATATATATAGTGTTCATCTTAGTAGTCAACTTCTATATATATATATAGAAGTTGACTACTAAGATGAACACTACTACTAATCTCAAACTTAGATAAATTATGATTATTAACTTTTTTGATGATTATCATTTGACTTACTATCTCATGTATTTACATACTGCTTCATTTCTTTCAGGTAAATGTTCGTATTTATTCGAATAAATGCATATATAGATAAATGAACAGATATACTCCCGTGAACAGGAGAATCGGTGTATCTTCTCTACTAGCATGAATACTTTAGATAAGCAGGAAGCAGTGTGTTGTTTAAAAAATAAACATAACCTGAGCTCATATATTCAGTTGGTTGTAGACTCGAGGAAGATAAAGCAGCTATCCAGTGCTCAGTTGTTTTCAACAGTTTTGAAATGATATCGGTCTATGCTGAAGACTAACTTAACTTAAAACTGAACAATATCCGAAAATACTTCACCCTGACTAGTTTCAATATGAATTCATGATATTCAAATGAGCAACAATAACTGATGACGTTAAAGTACATCTCCAGTATGATAGATATTACTGGCTTCATTGCATGATTGTTGCACAGTATGGCAACTAAACTAAAATTTTAAATGTAAGTTATCTAATTCCAACTTAAGGGTCTAGGTTTATTCTGATAGCCGTGAGAACTGAAAATTCTTCGCTGATTCAAGTGAGGCGTGATAGATGCTCATTGTTAACTGAATACCTCCGACTTTTAATTAGATTACCTTTCACATTCTAGTTTAGATTTCACACTATCTGGTAAATGTTAAACCAGAAGTCTTTTAGTTGTAATGTATTTTGGAGACTTATATGTACAGAAGAGTATATGAACAGGATACACGGGACAAAAGAACCTAAATATATGTCATGAGTTTGAAACACAATTGATCTGTGAGGATTTAGTACTCTATCGTATTGTAGTACCAATAACTTCACGTAAAACAGGCTTATAGCCTTGTGAAGAAATATGCATCTAGTCAGTGAGTTACATCTTGCTTTATGGGAAATCAATAAAACTTGGGATTAGTCACTTGTTATTCAAAATGTTAGTGATCCATTTAAAAGAAAACTAACATCAAATTAAAGTGTTTCTGCCAATATTGGTAATCTAAAAAAAAGGTCAAGATAGAAATCTATATGATTATATTGCTTGAAGAAATTGTGAATAATTCTCATTTTCACTATTCAATTGTAAGATCACAAAAAATGTTATTTATGTATGATGTTCGTGTTAATATTCATTCAAAATAAATTTTTAAACATGCAACAAATCGATTATGCTGTTGGGAAGTGTTCACTTTTGT